TTTGCAAACGTTTTCTGGAAGCCGAACGTCCGACACGGTTTCTGCTGGAGTGCAGGAAGCTCCTGCAGCCAATCAGAAACTGTGCCTTGGTTTTCGAACGGTTTCAGGAGTCAAACAGACTCCTGGAATAGATTAAGTTTAAGAACCGAGGTCCACTGTATGTTAGAATTCCTGTTCCATGATTGCAGTCATGGGATTGTTGTCTATCACATGACGGTATATGTTTTGACTCCACGGAGTGGGATGTGACAGAGACAGGATGTTGGTGTTACTGTGTTCTGTGAAGTGGGACTATTGTCCTTTGTTCTTTCTCTTTGCTGTCTGATGCTAGAGAGAGAGGGAGCCATGTTACAGTGCTCCGTGTGTGTTTATATGTAAATAATGTATATTAGCCAAAATGCCGAGTTGCTGAGGTCTGTCACACAAGCTGCGCAGACTCTGCGGATCCCTAAGTGTGCCGAAGTTGGCATCGGTCGCTGTGATGTTTGGGCAGAAGAAAGCTTTTGAAGCTCCCGAACGAAAGACCAGGAGGGAGAGAACATGCCAGTCAGGCACGTGTCTCTGCCAGGGTCCTACTCGAGTGTCGCATGAGCTCCTGACACTGTATAGGTCAAAACCAACATTTTGAATTGGGCCCAGGAGCTAATTGGCAGCTATTGGGCCAGGATATTCTCAAACAGTTGAGCAACCTGACTGCCAAATTCTGCACCAGCTGAAGTTTCTGAACCATCTTCAGAGGCGGCCCCTACACATAATGCGTTGCAGTGGTCTTGGGTCATATAGAAACCGCTCTCTTTTCCTGCGGAACCGTTTACTGAATCCTAACAACCCCGGTGCTGCTAAATTCTCTCCTATTGAAATTGTGGGGATGTTAAAGTGTTTAAATGTAGCTGGATCCTGCCCAGTTCCTGTCCCCTCAAGACCGCAAGACGTATGATGCTGTGCAACCATGGGTAAAATGGATGTGTCCTTTAAAAGCACCCAAGGTGGATGGATTTTCCAGAGAAACCCACCACTGGGGATTCGTTAAAAACTAATTGGAAATAGAATTCCATGCTGTAGGTTTTACGCATCACTGGTGATTGTAAATCAGTATGGTATTTATTTTACTGCACCGCAGCTTTTTAATGTTTTCTTTTTATTTCACTGCATCGTAGTTCCACCTCCCACCCCCACCCCCAGTATTTAATGGTGTTTTATCAGATTGCTGGTATGTTCTGGTTTTGGCTTCTGGTATTTTCATCGCTTTCCCAAACCCTTAGGATGGGCAGATTAGAAATGAAGTAACTGAATGAATACATTACAGTGGTACCTCTGGTTACATATGCTTCAGGTTACAGACTCCGCTAACCCAGAAATAGTGCTTCAGGTTAAGAACTTTGCTTCAGGATGAGAACAGAAATCGTGCTCCGGCAGTGCGGCGGCAGCGGGAGGCCCCATTAGCTAAAGTGGTGCTTCAGCTTAAGAACAGTTTCAGGTTAAGTACGGACCTCCAGAACGAATTAAGTACTTAACCCAAGGTACCACAGTATTTTGCATTATCTTCAAATGAAACACTATGCCCAATTACACTGCCCTTCACTTTTATCATCTTATCTTGATGAGAGAGAGAGAGAATTCAAAAATAACCACATCAGAGAAAACAGCCATATTTTCTTGAAAGTTCTTCCCCTGGGCAAAAGTCTTCTCAGTTGCTAGTAAAGATACAGGCATTTGTAGCAGACCTGGGAGCATCACAGGTCCCAACGGGCACTGCTGGACCAGATCAAAATCCTTCTCCAAAGTCTGTCTCCAACAGTGGCAGCAGGCTAGATGCCTCATGGATGTTCACAGTTATGGGCTTTTTTCCTGAATATCTGGTATTCACAATCACACTGCCATTTCTTTCTCTTTTTTGCCCGCTATTCCATTTTTATCCCACCCTTTCTCCCAGGAGCTCAGAGCTCAAGGCAGTTTGCATGGTTCTTCTCCCCCACGGTTCTCCTCTCCTTCCTTGGAGGTTTTTCAGCAGAGGATGGATGGCCACCTGTCACGTAAGATCTAGTTGAGATTCCTGCATTGCAGAGGGTTGGACTTGATGACCCTTGGGGTCTCTTCCAATTCTATGATTCTATGAATCAGCCGCTTCCAGTATGCCCAATGTTCAGGGATGATGGGAGTTGTGGTCCAGCAACAAGCATCCCCAAATGTCATTATGGAAACTTGCGAGACCCAGAATTCCTCAGGCTCCTAATAAAACCTCTGTCCTTGCATCATCCTATGATAACTAGGAACTCCCAGATATTGTGGGAGTCCCCTTGCTGGCTGCAGCACCCAAATCCATGACAGAGAGTTGAATTGGGTGAGTGGCATTCTTCTGCGTCTTCCTGCCTTGGAAGCCACCCAGTTTCTGCCAGTTCTTTGGAGTCAGTAAAGAATTTATATTGACTTTGCATTGTTGTACTTGGTCATTGTGCTGCCTTTGGATATTACTGATATTTGTTTGCAACACAGGGGTTTAATTGTTTAGCTCTTTGGAGTCGGCAAAAAAAGAGGGACAACAATCTTGATGTCTAATAGATCAGTTTCATGAATTTCGAGGCAAATGAATTCAATTCGGTGAATCCATGTGAAGGCTAAGTGTTTCTCGCAGTGCCGGATTTCTGTACAGTCATACCTCATGTTACATCCGCTTCATGTTACGTTCTTTCAGGTCACATCCCGCAGCGACCCGAAAGTACCGAAAAGGGTTACTTCTGGGATTCGCCGCTCGCACATGCGCAGAAGCACAGAATGATGTCACACACATGTGCAGATGCGGTGAATCACAACCCGTGCATTTGCAGATGCACTGCTGTGGGTTGCGTTCTTTTCATGTTGCGAACGGGGCTTAGAACAGATCCCGTTCACAACCAGAGGTACCACTGTATAAGCTATAGCCTAGGGCCCCACGCTCATGGGGCCCCCCAAAAAAATTAAAGGAAAAAAACTGGATGTACATTTCCAAAATATAAGATAAAAAAACAAATAAAATAAAACCTACATACAGCAACAGTGTTTTGTGTTGTGTAGGCTCCTATGTCAGTAATGGGTCCCGCCTGCTAGTTGACAAAGGACAGCTGGACATATAAAGGGCCCCATTACCTTCAATAGCTTAGGGCCTCATCAAACCGAAATACGGCCCTGGTCTCTCGCTATCTACACTCTCAGCAACCAAAGGAGCTGGCTTTGTTTTCCATGCCACTACTGCCTCTCCTACTTGTCTGCTCGCACCTGAGTCCCCTCCTGCCTAGGGCGAAGCCACTTTTGAAAAGCCATCAACAGATACCGCTGAAGCTGCTGCAGCCTCTGTATCCTCCTCTCGAACAATTACGGATGCACAGGGCTCGGCCTGCCAAAAAACAAATAGAAACACAAGCCTCAATTCAAGCATCTGTTTCCTCCTGGCCAGTCTCCACAGCTGTGCTAAGTGGCTTTGGAGCTGCCCCAGGTTGTCTGTCATGGGCTGGAATCAGAGTGGCAGGCAGCTGGTCGGGCAGGGGGCTCTGGCTTCCTCTTACATTATAAACTTATCACCACCCTGCACATTACTCAGCACCTTGCATGAAGCCGCCCTTAACGAGATTTGTAGGCCTGCAGAGCCATCATCCCTAGACCACAAATGTGTTTGTCTGTGTTTCCTCTTTCTGCAGAATCTGGGTTTTCTGAAACCTTTACAGTGGTACCTCAGGTTACAGGCGCTTCAGGTTACATACACTTCAGGTTACAGACTCTGCTAACCCAGAAATCGTACCTCGGGTTAAGAACTTCGCTTCAGGATGAGAACAGAAATTGCATGGCGGCAGCAGGAGGCCCCATTAGCTAAAGTGGTATCTCAAGTTAAGAACAGTTTCAGGTTAAGAACAGACCTTCAGAACGAATTAAGTTCTTAACCTGAGGTACCACTGTACAGTGCTAGTCAATTGGAAAGGGGTGGGGGGCTGACACCTTGAATTTTCAGAATGTAGTGCTGGACCCTGGCTAGAGTAGCTGTGTCTTGTTTTCCTCCTCCATAGGGTTCCCAGCCCTAGAGCACCCCAGACCCTGAGATTTCAAGGCCCAAAGCCGAGACCTAGGGGCAGTGATGTCACAGGGGCAGGTTCCAGTGATATTAAGCATAACACACTGAGCATCGACCACAGTCGCTGAGAGCATGTGATTCAAATAAAAAACACACAAAGTCTAACATGTGAGCAAATATGTTAACAGTTGGAAATTTAGATAACGGTTGGAAATTAAACCCAAGGGGATGCTCCCAAGCATGGGCGTAGCCAGGGCTTTTCTTGGCGTGGGGGGGGGCATTACAGGAGGCAGGCAGAACCTCAGTTAATTGAGATTTTTTTGTAATACCTTTCAATACTTTTTGAGGATTTAGGGGGGCAGCTACTCCCCCCTCCCTTGGCTATGCCCATGTTCCCAGGTCCAGTTGAAGTAACATGGTCACTCCTTTTCACCTGCTTAGGTTTAGGTAGGGAAGACTCTCTCACCTTCTCTGCCTCATTATTTATGACATTACATGAGAACTGCAGATATCATGGGCCAGCTTTCTTGTCTTGCGAGTGCAGTAACAGTGGAAACAAGCTTATCAGGCAACAACTCTGATCAATTTGATGATCGAGGCTGCATCAGCTTGATTTTCTGATAAGCCTGAGAACTTCAACTGGCCGATAGACGTTATAGCTCTGCATCCTAATTCTTTTTGTGTGTGTGTGCTTCCAGACATGGTCACTAGAAAAGAGAGCATTTACCGTATTTTTTGCTCTATAAGACTCACTTTTCCCCTCCTAAAAAGTAAGGGGAAATGTGTGTGCGTCTTAGGGAGCTTTCACTGCGCAGCGATCCCTCTTGCTGTTCTGGCTTCTGAGATTCACAATATTTTTTTTCTTGTTTTCCTCCTCCAAAAACTCTTGTGGTCTGGTGCGTCTTATAGAGTGAAAAATACGGTATTTCATTCCCCCTCTCACACCAAGCCACAAATACGGTTTTGATCAGTTACAGCTGCTTTATTCTCTGCTCCAGAGCAATAACTTCTCTTTCCATCTCGTAGGGGAGGTCAGCATTGACTTGCTCTTCAAAATACTTCTTGATTTCTTCCACCTCCTTTTCCCAGAAGTCTCTGGAAAGGGCAAACAGTTCCTGTGTGTTGACACCTTCCAGGCCTTTCAAGTTCAAGCCCACGTCATCAGGGACGTAGCCGATGGCTGTCAGCTGCGCACTCGCATCTCCCCGAATTCGGTTGAACATCCACTGCAGCACACGGCAGTTCTCGCCGAAGCCAGGCCACAGGAACCGCCCTTGCTTGTCTTTCCGGAACCAGTTGACATGGAAGATCTTGGGAAGTTTTGCAGCAGGCCGGTGCGCCATACTGAGCCAATGGGAGAGGTACTGGCCAAAGTTGTAGCCAAAGAAAGGCCGCATGGCAAAGGGGTCGTGCATGATGATCTTGCCTGTGGGGAGAAGGGGAAAGATTGTGTTATGAGGGTCTTTCTTGCCCACATTCAGAGCACCATCGATTCTATGGTTGACTGGGGAATGCCCATCGTGGTTCAGTGACACAGCAAGTGCTATGCATGCAAAAGGTTCCAGGTTCCATCCCAAGTATGCCCAGGTTCATTTTCAGTCAGTCAATCTGAGATCCAGTGTGGCGTAATGGTTAGAGTATTGGACTAGGGCGTGGGAAACCACGGTTTGAATCCCCTCTCTGCCATGAAGCTCGCTGGGTGACTTTAGGCCCATGGGTAGGCAAACTAAGGCCCGGGGGCTGGATCTGGCCCAACTGCCTTCTAAATCCGGCCCACAGACAGTCCGGGAATTAGCGTGTTTTTACATGAGTAGAATGTGTGCTTTTGTGCAAAAGAAAAAGAACATCAACTCTCTCCTCCAAACTGGTCTAGATACACCAGTTTCTGGGGTTGGTTCATGTACCAAGATGTCAGCGCTTAAGAGCTACCATGCAGCCAAATGAAGCTATTATTTTAGGTGTCTGATCAACAGATAAGTTTTGCCAGAGGGCCACAACGAAAAGGAGTGTGTGTTTCAACACCCCAGTCCAAATTTGCACGAAAGCCTACTACTGGCAAGCCCCAAATCCTTTTGCCTGTGTGGGACAACAACCGGGGGAGAGCAAAGTTTGGCTAATGGGCTGCCAGTGGGTAACTTGGTTCTCAAAAACACCAAAGAAGCAACGTCATTAAGTCCCTGCCTCGCACCCCTAAACTAAGCTAAAGGTAAAGGGACCCATGACCATTAGGTCCAGTCGTGACTGACTCTGGGGTTGTGGCACTCATCTCGCTTTATTGGCCGAGGAAGCCAGCATGCAGCTTCCGGGTCATGTGGCCAGCATGACTAAGCCGCTTCTGGCAAACCAGAGCAGCGCACAGAAACGCCGTTTAGCTTCCCGCCAGAGTGGTACCTATTTATCTACTTGCACTTTGACGTGCGTTTGAACTGCTAGGTTGGCAGGAGCAGGGACCGAGCAACGGGAGCTCACCCCGTCGCGGGGATTCGAACTGCCGACCTTCTGATTGGCAAGTCCTAGGCTCTGTGGTTTAACCCACAGCGCCACCCATGTCCCAACCCCTAAACTAGCAGATTGCAAATCTCTCCAGACCTTGGAACCATAAGATCTTTTCACCAGCCCTAATTACTCACAACGGCTACGCTGCCATCAATATATTCACACTAAGAAAGAAAGGAAATAGGTTCCAGCAACTAAGTGTCAGCAATTTCCAGGTGAAAATAATGAGACGGGCTGTTTAAATGCGGAAGCGTTATTATAGTCTGCTTTACCTTTATGTTCAGCGGCAGCTGTTGCTTCTGATCTCATCGTTGCACCTACGAATACTCCGTGCTGCCAGTTAAGGGTCTCGTAGACCAGAGGCACACCTGGGGAGAACAGGAACAGCTGTAATATTTAGAGCAGGGCAGTCCAACTTTCCATACCAAATGGGCCGCAAGAGTACTTTGACACAGAGCCCGCGGGCCGCACACACTGAATTAAAATTCCACATCAGTGTTGGCAATATATTTAGCATTATAGTGGTACCTCAGTTCTCGAATGTAATCCGTTCCAGAAGACCATTTGACTTCCGAAATGTTCGGAAACTGAGGCGCAAAGGACCAGCTGCAAGTTCAATTAGAAAAACTGAAAAACATGCAGCGGAAACCGTTTGACTTCTGAAGCGTGTTTGAAAACAGAAGCAATTACTTTTGGGTTTTTGGCGTTTGAAAACAAAAACACTCGGCTTCTGAGATGCTTGAAAACCGAAGTACCACTGTATTTAATATACAGTGGTACCTTGTGTTAAGTACTTAATTCATTGCGGAGGTCCGTTTTTAACCTGAAACTGTTCTTAACCTGAAGCACCACTTTAGCTAATGGGGCCTCCCACTGCTGCCGCACCGCCAAAGCCTGATTTCTGTTCTCATCCTGAAGCAAAGTTCTTAACCTGAAGCACTATTTCTGGGTTAGCAGAGTCTGTAACCTGAAGCGAATGTAACCTGAAGCGTATGTAACCCGAGGTACCACTGTACACAATTACAGTGGTACCTTGTGTTATGGACGGGATCCGTTCCAGAGGCCCATCTATAACGTGACATACCCGCAACTCAAAGTGCTATTTCTGTGCATGTGCGTGGTGCGATTTAGCACTTCTGCACATGTGCGAAGCGCGATTTAGCACTTCTGTGCATGCGTGAGCGGCAAAACCCGGAGGTAACCCGTTCCGGTACTCCTGGGTTGCCGCAGGACGTAATATGAAAAGACGCAACATGAAGCGGACGGAACACGAGGTATGACTGTAATATATATAATTATATATATATAATTAAATATACAATTATTAGATTTAATATCTTTAACTATGAAACAAATTTAATACACAGTTATATGCGCATTGCACAAAAATAGATAATTATGCTTCATGTTTAATGTCTCTTCTTTAAAAAAATTTAAAAATTGTCCAATAGCACCTTAGAGACCAATTAAGTAGTTTTGGGTATAAGCTTTTTTGATTATTTTTTTTTGACTGCGTCAGACCAACACGGCTACCTACCTGAATCTAGTCTCTTCTTTAACATTGCTGAGGGTCGCCAATAAGGGCCTCATAGGCTTCTTGCAACCTGCAGGCTAGACCACCCTGATTTAAAGGTTGGCAGTGCCACACATTATGAATTTTGATGATTTCCAACACTGCAGCAGCAGGAGGTGTGGAGCTAGCAATTTGTGAGTTTGGGATTACAGCGCATCCTTCCTTCTTGTGGTTTATCTAGCCCATTCAGATCTTAAACAGTTCAATCAAGAGGCTAGGCTATCTTAAGATACAAGGAGTCAGGGAGGGACGTTTAGGTTACCAATGGCCTCTGCCTCTTTAAAGCAACTGTTGAGCAGCGACAAGGGTAGCAAGAGGGTCCAGCGGGTGGTGAGCATTTGCCACTTTCCCTGGTCCCTCCTCACTAAAGAGGCTGTGTGTGCTCCCAGCATCCTGACACATCCTCATGGATTGGAGCTTAGGCATTACTCTACACTAGGGATGGAGCAGAAACTTAGTCTGGCTAGTATTTTTAATGCGGACACACCTAATGCGCACTTCCCCAAACTATATGCAGACCAAAACACAGCTATTCTTTGGAAACTGCACTTTGCAGTTTTGCGATTCAGTTCTGCAAATAAAAATGCATGCAAAAATCATCACGTCTGTTAGTGTGTGCACATGTTGGTGAAAATAACGTGCCGAAATGCATTTTATTAAGCGAAACGGTCACTAAGCTGCTAATGAACTTTCATGAGGATTATTTTTTAAAAAATGTAAACAGATGCAGAAATGAGAACTGAAGTCTGGAAAAATTAGGAACTGAGCAAAATTGAAATTCATAGATTCATATCCCAAATTCATAGCCAAAAATACCGAAAATGGGAGCCATGTATCCAAGTTTCACCCTCACCTTGGCATTTATTTATTGGTTTATATTTTTGTTATAATTTAAAAAAAAATGGTTTTCAGGATAGTTTGCAAAAGAATTTACACCTGATGCAGCACTGTGTACTTGGTGGTACAGTGGTACCTCGATTCATGAATGAAATCCATTCTGGAAGCCTGTTCGGCTTCTGAAATGTTTGAAAACCAGGGCGTGGCTTCCCATTGGTTGCAAGAGCTTCTTGCACTCAGCGGAAGCTGGGTCGGATGTGCGGGTTCCAGAAAACGTTTGAAAACAGAAGCATTTACTGCCGGGTTTTCAGCGTTCGAGAACAAAACATTTGGGAACTGAGGTTCCACTGTAACATCTAATAGATACCCAGGTAATTTTTGTATGGGCATCCTATGTAAATGCAGCAAATAAGCACAAACGGCCTCGGTCCTGTATACCTGAAGGAGCGTCTCCACCCCCATCGTTCTACCCGGACACTGAGGTCCAGCGCCGAGGGCCTTCTGACGGTTCCCTCACTGCGAGAAGCCAAGTTACACCCTCCCACCAGATGTCAAAGAGACTACCAGACTTTTAGAAGACATCTGAAGGCAGCCCTTTTTAGGGAAGCTTTTAATGTTTGATGTATTACAGTATTTTAATATTTTTTTCGGAAGCCGCCCAGAGTGGCTGGGGAAGCCCAGCCAGATGGGCGGGGTATAAATAATAAATTATTATTATTATTATTATTATTATTATTATAAAATAGAACAGACAGCCCCCTTTTGAGACTCTTACCTTCAGGTCTCCGTCCTCCAAATATGATCCCCTCAATTGGCACTCCTTCTGGAGCCTCCCAGGCAGGGTCGATAATGGGGCACTGGTTGGCAGGAGAGCAGAACCGGGAATTGGGGTGGGAACAAGGTTCCCCTGTGCAAATATAACAGATATTTATAGTGGCACCATTAACCGAAAATGCAATGGCAATAAAAGAAAAAGGGAGCCATTAACTGGAGTTAATTGTACCGCTCTTGGCTGTCCATTCCTTGTTTTTCCACGAAGTGAGCGTCACCCCGGGTGCAAACTGCTTTTCCATGCCTTCCCAGTACACGCCTCCGTCACTGGTTTCTCCCACATTGGTGAAGATGGTGTTCTTCCGTATGGTCTTCATAGCATTGGGGTTTGTTTTCACTGACGTTCCAGGAGCCACTCCAAAGAAGCCATTCTCTGGATTGATGGCTCTGAGGTTACCTGGGGAATTTTAGAAGAGATGTGAGGTTCGGAGACCTTGTCTCTGCTTCAGTCACTCCCCACCTCTCCAATACACACCCATTCCTCATTCAATCCTTTCCAACTCTTTAACAAAACTCTTTTGCTCCTCCGCTCACAAATACTATTTTCAGGCTTCTCAACTTTGGAGCCACTGCTGATGGTTCCCATCTGGTTATGCCAAAACTGCAAATGCATTTTAAAGCGCTCTAATTAGCACTCACTTGGGATCCTTCCCTGCATCAATTAATGGATACATACTACATGGGTTTCTGAGATATTCCCTCTTTAAATGTCACTGCTCTGCAGGAGACAATATTTCCCCACCTGCCTATCTTGCAGGGGGCTAAACTTGGATGCAATGTCATACTGTAAGTATCCTTCCAACCTAAACCACTGCTATTTTTTTTTCCTAATTGCCACCCTCCAGGGGAAAAAAAATCTTGAAGTTAGGAGAAAGCCTTATCCGTTTCTTTTTGTAACACTGAAGTGCACGTACATGGTTTTACTGTAGGGTTAAAAATATATTTGCTCTCTTTCCACATCCTGAAGCAGAAGAAGGAAGGGTGACAGGAAAAAAGAGTAGGTGAGTGGGTTGCTGGTTTTCTCAGCAATGGTGAAACTGACAAGACTTTGCACACACAGGTAGTTCTTCATGAAGGGCTTTGAAACAAAAGGCGAAAGATTTATACGATCTGAGGAGAAGCCAGAGTATATATATACATATATGTATATATTGTATATGTACATATACAGTGAGAGCTGGACCATAAAGAAGGCTGATGGACAAAGAATTGGTGCTTTTGAATTATGGTGCTGGAGGAGACTCTTGAGAGTCCCATGGACTGCAAGAAGATCAAACCTCTCCATTCTGAAGGAAATCAGCCCTGAGTGCTCACTGGAAGGTCAGATCCTGAAGCTGAGGCTCCAATACTTTGGCCACCTCATGAGAAGAGAAGACTCCCTGGAAAAGACCCTGATGTTGGGAAAGATGGAGGGCACAAGGAGAAGGGGATGACAGAGGACGAGATGGCTGGACAGTGTTCTCGAAGCTACCAGCATGAGTCTGACCAAACTGTGGGAGGCAGTGGAAGACAGGAGTGCCTGGCGTGCTCTGGTCCATGGGGTCACGAAGAGTAGGACACGACTAAACGACTAAACAACAAATATTGTAATCACACTTAAGTAAGAGCAATGTAGAGAAGCCAGAAGAGGGGTGGAGGGAAGTTAATTCGGATAAGATATAGATTGAAAGGAGAATAATATTGTTAAACTGTATTGTGTTTAAGACATTTGGAAAAAAATAATAAAAATTATTGGGGGGGGGGAAGAAATGTAAGCACAAGCTGTTCCAAAGTGGGTACAGTTGTATTGAAAAAGTGATGAGAGGGAGGGTCAAAATGCATTTCATCTGATCACTTCAAACGCAGGGGCCACAAAAAATGCAAGAAGTTCAAAATGCCACTGTGAGTCATAGAGTTGGGAGGGACCCCTGAGGGTCATCTAGCTCAACCCCCCGCAATGCAGGAATCTTTTGCCCAATGTGGGGCTCGAACCCACAACCCAAAGATTAAGAGTCTCATGCTCTGCCGGCTGAGCTATCCCACATTTCTGAATGGCCACCAGATTATTTAAGAACCCAATACAAATATACTTAATGCTGCATTTCTTGTTACATGTGGGAGGAAGAGAGGGTGTAAAAATGAAAATAACTTGAGAAGCATGTGTGAAATCTGCCTCAGAAACAAGCTAGAGCAAGTGCCCCTAACTACCGGAGGTTGTGAGTAGGAAAATATCTGTTCTTCCATCATCTGACACTAGGCTTTCCTGACAGCAAGTACAGTCTGTTCACACAAACATTATCAGTGCATTTTTTTATTCAGTGAAGTGGTCTTCACTGCATTGACATGGTGAACCAGATACGTGGTTCTTTCAACATGTGTCCATGTTGCAGCCAATGCATATTTGATCAATTCGCTTTAGAAAGTTTTATTGGGTCATGCGAACACATGGCCTGGAAACCTGTTGAAAGATCACAAGGCTGTTTCACCATAGCGAAGTCAGATTGAGTTTGCCAACAAGAAACTGTGGCACTGCCCCATACCAGATGGGACCAAGAAACTGTTGAATGGTCACTTTAAAATGTGAAGGTTCATTATTGTTTCACAAGTTGTGTATGTCTTTAAGGGCCAGGGCAAATAACGAGACCCAGTCTTACAGCTGTGAAACATAGCAGGTGCTGCTAGGTTGTGTTAATTAAGCTGTGTCAGCATTTGGGCATAGTATATAAGGAGCAGCACCTAGCTCTCCCATTACCTTGGGGGTTAGGTTGGGTCATGTTTGTTGTTGTTATCTTTAGTGTAAAAGGAGTTTTTGTTTTTGTTATTAAAACCTTGTTAAAGGTTTTTTGAGTTCCTTGTTATGCATGGTCTCCCTAGCAAGCTCTCTGCAGCGCTACTAAACTGCAAATAGCCAACAGAAACTGTCTACCTCACCCAACTTTTGCTATTGGCTCAACTGCTGGTTTCAGCCACTGATATCAAACATCAACATCCCTGGCTAAATCCCCACTTGGATGCTAAAGAGGTTACCTTGGTCATCAAATTTCATCCAAGCAATATCATCCCCAACACACTCGATTTTCCACCCTGGCAGAGTTGGGTTCATCATGGCCAAGTTGGTTTTCCCACACGCACTTGGGAAGGCTGCAGCAAAATATTTCTTTTCACCTTCCGGATTTGTGATACCCAATATCTATTTAGGGGAGAAAAAACCCCACTCTCTTAAGGAGTGCCATGCAGCTGACAACAATACCGTATTGGCCCAAATATAAGCTGCACCCAAATATAAGCCACACCTTTAAAATTCATGGGGGGGAGGGGGAGAGAAAAAAAGACAATACCCGAATTTAAGCCGCTCCCTTAAAATCCCACAGGCACTCACACCCGTTCTGTTTTAGTGTATGTCTGTTTCAGCAGCGATCTTGTAAAAGCCAATTTTCGTAAGGTCGCGGATTTAAGCGACACTTTAACTTTTCTAGTTCAGAATTTGGAGGGGGGCAGGAGTGAAGCTTATATTCAGGCCAAAACAGTAATATTAACGACTGCAAAGCATAAGTAATAAACCAGCTAATCTCTGAACCACTGCGGGACTTTTTCAAACTGAAGAGCAAAGCTACCAAGTGAAGTTCTGAAATGTCATGGAGGAAATATAATATTTGATTTTAGAACATGGTAAAATTGTGCACAATTTGCAATCCCTGGAGAATATGGACTTCTCAACCCCATTTAGTCTCTGTTTAGGTATTTAGCATTCTGCTCTGCTCTTCCTTCAGGGTCAGGGCAGTACCCAGTACCCTTGGCTGCCTTCACAACAACCCTGCGGGTTTAGGCTGACAGAGAATCACTGGCCCACTGACTGAGGACTTTGGACCTGCCCAACACTCCAGCCACTACACACAGGTTTTCTGTATTTAAATATATTACTGCTACTATTGAACAGGCTCTGATCTAGTTCCTATATGAAGAGAGAGCCCCTGTATAAGAACCCCTATAAGATTAAATAGAGGTCTGCTTTCCTCCTGCCCTTCTCTCCTTATGGCATGTAACAACACGTATGTCCTAAGACTAGGGAAAATCAGAGAATCTCAAACATTCCCAAAAAACTTCAAGGTTAGTCAATATGATTATTCCCATTTAACAGATGGAGAACTGAGGCTGAGTGAGAGTGACTTGCCAAGTGTCACCAATTGAAGGATCTCACTGCTGAGCCATGATTTTTTTAGCTGCGGGCATCCCACCCATGCCTTCAAGCTCTTTCTTGTTCCATAGAAATGAAGGCGTTTACTGCCGTTCACTGTGCCTTCGGTTGCAACAACACCAGTGCAAGCAACACATTTATTGTTAAAACTTTCCCCTACCAGCATGTGTTCGGCAAGCCAGCCCTCTTCCTTGGCGATCCTGCTGGCGATCCGGAGAGCAAAGCACTTCTTTCCCAGGAGGGAATTTCCTCCATAGCCGCTTCCAAAGGAAATGATCTCTCTGTGATCCGGGATGTGAGCAATCAGAGTCAGATCTGGGTTACAGGGCCAGTTATTGACCAGAGGCTCTACGAAAGAAATTAAGCAAAACACGTTATTTATTGGGATTGGTGACCTGGATAAAAGTGCAACCTTCTCCTTCTTTTAAGATGCATCCTTTTAAAACTGGACCACATGCATATTTCTTTTACTTTTGTTTGGTACACAGTAAGCCCACAACTTGTGCGCATTCAGCTTTATGCATGTGGCAAAAATATATATAAATTTAAAAGGGGGTGGAGTTCTGGGGAAAATGATTTTGGCAATCCCACCTGCCTTTGAATCCAATGCGTTTTGACTGTATGCTATTTTAGCTTTAGGCACGATCCCCAGAATGTAACCCCTGCAGGCAGTCTTACTGTACCAAAACCTAATTTCAATGTTTGTTTTCCAGCACTAGGTGTCACTATCGTGCTTGTCTGCACAGCTAACAGCAGCAATATCAGCAACTAGTGGTTTTGGAAAACAGTTAATTCTTGAAACATTCTGTTTGATAGAGAGGTAGGCAAAACTCTCTCCATTTTCTGTAAGACCAGATGGCACTGAATCTGCAGAAGCAAGATCTGGGAGAACATTAAAAAGAAACCCAGCTGTTCCAAAGCATCTTCAGTGAGCAATTTCTGGTCCATCGGGATGACGAGCTGCCTGGCAACCCTGTATAGTAAAGCATCCAGGACCATAAAGTAACGAAGACTTTGCACTGAGAATGGCTTACTTTTCAATGGCAAAGGGCACCCAACTGAATGGAGGCATTTCACAAATTCCCCGTTGCCCAGGGCCTCTAGGACAGACGTCCCCATCCGAGTCATGATCCTCATGCTGGCCACCACATAAGGAGAATCTGTCAGCTCAATCCCAAACTTGGATATAGGGGAACCAATGGGCCCCATGCTGAAAGGGATGACATACATGGTGCGCCCTGCAAAAGAGAAGCCGAAAAAGGATTTCAAAACAGCAACCAAGACCACTGTAAATGTAAGCTGGGAGTCTGTACCTTACATGTCTCCTTACCACCCCAAACCCTCTCTTCTCTCCTTTTATTTTAGATGGTATTTTGAAAAACAGGGGAGTCTAACTTTTTTTGCACTCAAAACATTAGAAGGAATCCTCTTTTGCACAGGAGGACGATTATCTAAACTCGAGGGCAGGAATTTGGCATTGCGATAGAGAAAACTCTCGCACCTTTCATGCACCCAGGGAATCGGACGCTGAAGGCTTTCTCAAAGTCCTCTTCAGACATCCAGCTTCCCAGCTGGCTCACCCCACTCTTCGGGATCGGGATGGTGTCTCGCTGGTCCTGAGTGACGATGACAGTTTTGCTTTCGATTCTGGCCACGTCCCTCGGATCTGTACGAGCCAAAAAGCTGTGGAGAGAAGGAGCAGGACACCTGCACTTCAGCTATTTAGGAAACAACCTGAACGCCTTCCCTGCCTGGTGTGGCTTTGCAGAGCAAAGGAGCCACCGCCGTATCTGCAGCCCTGCGGCATACGGGAGCTGAGGTAGAAGTGGGGGGAACAGGGAGATTGCTCTGCCAACCTGGCTCCCTTTCCTGGAAAGCTTTGTTTTGTGGATTTCCAGCAACACTTCCACTAACCCACACGCCTGGCAGGCAGCTGGTGGGAAAGTGAGCTCCATCTTCATCCGGCGAGACCCAATCCAGTCTGGCACAAAAGTTTTTGGGTTGCTCTGCCTGATATTAATAATTACAAGATTCCAGTACAACTCTACCATACTATGATATTTGAGTATGAAAGGACTATTATTTACAACACAGCCGCCCTCTCTCTCTCTCAAACACCCACCCACACACCCCTGCTCCTCCCTTTAGACTGGGGTGGGGATCCTGTGACCCTCAAGATGTAGCTGGACACCAGTTCCCTTCAACCCTGAACATTGCCATGCTGGTGAGGGCTGATTGGTGTTGCAGTCTAACAACATCTGGAAGACCACAGGTCTCCCACCTACTCTAGATGGAGGTTGTAGGATGTGCCACCTTTCCCAAGCTTCCCCACTCCCAAAACTCCCCAGCTGTTTCCCTCTCTCTCTCTAAATATTAGGTCCCATGTAAGAAACATCTCCTGACCATCCTGGACCACTAACCTGCCATCTGCTTAGCAAAATAAATCAGCGAGGCTGGAGCGATTACGTTGAAACACTGAGCACAGCACTCTATTAAACTAGCAAGCAGGGACATTAAAACTGATGGTATCAACAAACCCCAGGCTTAAGGCAGACCAAACAGCAGCTGCTAAAGGGATCCCATCTTAAACTTCAGCCACCCTCACGGCATGCACACACAAATACGCACAAAACACACCCCACTTACCAATTCTCATATTTGCCAAGCTTCTTAATCATGCCTTCCTCCACCATGAGCTCCAAGATCCTTTTGTTCTCATGCTCTGAGCCATCGCAGATGTGGACAGCTTCCGGCTGGCAGAGCTCAGCGTTGCTTTCAACAAAGTCCCTCACATCTGGCGCCAGGCTCTTCGGGTCTCCCTGGACAAACTTTGGGGTGGCGCTCCTCTGTGCCCGCAGCTGGGATGGCATCGCCCGTTCTTTGCAAGGACAAGGCTTGGGGTTGGGGGTCCGTAATAGGAATTGCAAGCTGGAAGGGGGCTGGGGGGGAGAGACAGTATGTAGTGTAACAGATCTGGGTTGGAAAGCTTAGTTTAAAATACTTGCAGTGATCGGAACATAGGAAGCTGCCTTATGCTGAGTCAGAGCATCGGTCCATCTCAGTATTGTCTACACCAGCGGTTCTCAACCTGTGGGTCCCCAGATGTTGTTGGACTACAACTCCCATCATCCCTGACCACTGGTTATGCTGGCTAGGAATGATGAGAGTTGTAGTCCAACAACATCTGGGGACCCGCAGGTTGAGAAACACTGGTCTACACCGATGGCAAGTGGCTCACCAGGGTTTCAGGCAGTCAGTCACTCCCAACAGGTTGAGCTCTTCTGCATTTAATGCAGGTGCTCTTCAACTTCTACAGCCCTTCCTCATGATCAAGAAGCACCTAGCATCAGATTGAGAAACAAGAGGTCATCTGAAACTGAAAGTGTCTATATCAAGGTTAGAAGTGAATGCAAGCTATATACTTACCTTTTCGGAGCTGCCTCTGTTCTCAGGCTCGGAGAGGATTTCGCAGGTTCTTTCAAGCAGTAAGGTGTTGCTTAGGGACAAGCTCTGTCCCAAACCTCTGGTCTTCCAGAAAGCAGCTTCCTTGCTTAAGTACTCTTCTTGGGTCGCAGTCCATCCCACCGTCTGGAGGCTCGCCTCTGACGTCACGGCATGGAAACGTGTCTTCTGGCTCGTTGCCTAGATGGGTGTCCTCAGAAGCAAACTAGTCGTCCCCAAGAGCTTATCTGTTAACTGGTTCCATTAATGAGTGCTTGCGCGCCGTTCAAGCCAGTTTACGAAATATCCTGGCTAGGTCAACCTTTGGCCTCATTCTGTCCCTGTCCCTGTTGCAAAACAAAGAAAGAAGGGAAGAAAGAAAGAAAAAGAACAGTTGCCATTTCTCAATGCAAGCGAAAGGCTGAGCACACCCACCCACCCACCCACCCCCCCGGATGGTTGCAGAAGCCGAGGCTCAGAGGGCAGTTATGTGTGCAACAGATAGAAAAGCAGGTTTCGTAGTCACAGCAACTGCTCGCTGCAGGCTCGCCCCAGGGGTGTTTACTTGCTTTTGGAAATTTCCCTTGGCATGGGGGAAAAGAGCAGGTCTGAATAGCAATCGGAGGGAGAGGAAGGGAACAACATTTGCATTCAGTTCACACATACCAGTTCCCATGATATCCCGTATGAATGGGAAAGTTTTAATTTGGCTCGGAGAGTCAGGTTTGTAAGTTCGTTATAAAGATGCTTCCGTTCTACTTGGCCTTGGCTTTGCTTTCACGGAGGCCTCCTCTATTTCTTCTTTTTTCTTTTGCGCAAGGCAGGGGCAAACCCCAAAAGCCGAATTTGATCTCTAGCCAAAGGGGGATTCCAGATATCTGGCACAGGTCACAGCCATACCATACATTGAGAGGGGTTGGCTTCCTCAAGGAATTCTGGGAACTGTAGTTTGCTCCTCACGGAGAAACAGTTCCTCAATAGACAACAGTTCCCATGGTTCTTTGGGGCAAGCCATGCACTTTAAATGCATGATGTGGACATGACCACAGATTTGAGCCCATTTCTGTCTTCCGTGGATAGTTGCAAGTACCTGCTTTCCTCCCACTGCTCAGTCACTTTCTATCTACTGTAAAGAGCTGTGGGACTAGAGCACTTTCTTCGTGTCCTCCTGAATGTGGGGCCTGGGTGACAGGAGGACATGCAATCATGTGCCCTCTCTTCAGTGGCGGAGCTTCATGCTCCAACACCGGCGGCGAAGAGCAGGCGTGGGCGTGGCTGGTGCATGTCCCAGGGGCATGGCACACTACCCGCAGGGGCATGATGTGCATCCTGGGGGTGTGGCGCACCGCCTGCGGGGGCATGGTGCCCAGCGTGGGGGGGGGCAGCTGCGATGGCACCCCACCAAGATCGTGGTGCCAGAGGCGGTGCGCTCCCCACACACCCCTCTTCCTCTGCCAGTGCTTCTCCCTACTCCTGCCCACCCTAGTGCTGTGACTGAAATCTGTTTTAACTGTTTTTAAATTCTGAATTTTAAATTGTTGTACAGTCATACCTCGGGTTGATGTAGCTTCGGGTTAAGCATTTTAAGGTTGCGCTCCGCGGCGACCCGGAAGTAACGGAGCGCATTACTTCCATGTTTCGCCACTCGCGCATGCGCAGACGCTCAAAATGCCGTCATGCGCATGCGCGGAAGCGGCGGATTGCGACCCGCACAGACGCAGGTTGCATTCGCTTCAGGATGCGAACAGGGCTCCGGAACAGATCCTGTTCGCATCCAGAGGTACCACTGTAACCTGTCCTGGGACCCAATGCTGAAAGTTGAGCAATACATTTAATCATTAATAACGATAATAAGGAAAACAACCATAGTTAGGTCAACTCAACATGTGCCTAGAACCTATATATTGTGTTTTCTATAACGCAGCCAGAGTCCAAGAGTTGTTTGAAGTGTCCAACATAACCAGGAAATGTAATCTGCTTCATTTTCATTGCTTGCATGAATGGTAATGACCATGTCATCATTATGAAGGAGTGTCTCTACCCCATCGTTCAGCCCGGACACTGAGGTCCAGCTCCGATGGCCTTCTGGTGGTTCCCTCACTGTGAGAAGTGAAGCTACAGGGAACCAGGCAGAGGGACTTATTGGTAGTGGCACCCACCCTGTGAAATGCCCTCCCATCACATGTCAAGGAGATGAGTACAACTATATAACTTTTAGAAGATATCTGAAGGCAGCCCTGTATAATTAATGTTTACCGTATTTTTCGCCCTATAGGATGCACTTTCCCCCCTCCAAAAATGAAGGGGAAATGTGTGTGCGTCCTATGGGGCGAATGCAGGCTCCTTAGCTTCAGCGATAGCAACGCGATGCCTCCGAAGCCTGCACTCTGGAGGCTTCGCGTTGCTTTCGCTGAAGCCAGGAGAGTCTGCTCTTTGAGGCTGGCGGTGGGGGAAAGCAGCGCTTCCGCCCACCGCCAGCCCCACAAGCTGGGGGCCAGAGGGAAGGCGCGCAACGCCTTCGCGCTACTCTCCGACCTGGTTTGGAGGCTGGCGGTGGGGGAAAGCAGCGCTTCCCCCCATCGCCAGCCCCAGAGGATCGGGGGGCAGCGGGAAGGCGTGCGACGCCTTCGCGCTACTCTCCGACCCGGCTTTGAGGCTGGCGGTGGGGGAAAGCAGCGCTTCCGCCCACTGCCAGCCCCACAAGCTGGGTTGAAAAGCCCGCAGGAGCCGCGCGCTCTTTAAAGGCTGCGCGGCTTCTGCGGGCTTTTCTATGAATTCCCCCACCTCGTAGAAAAGCCTGCAGGAGCCACGCAGCCTTTAAAGAGCGCACCGCTCTTGGGGGCTTTTCCCCAAGGAGGGAGAAGGGACTGACTGGCCGAGTCAGTCCCTTCTCTCTCCTGTGGGCTTTTGCGGGAGGTGGGGGAATTCCGCCACCTCCCGCAAAAGCCGGGAGAAGGTCTTGGAGTAGCGCACAGGCTGCGTGCAGCCTGTCCGCTGCTCCCAGAGCTGCGGGGGGAGGGAAATCATATTTTTTTCCTTGATTTCCCCCCCTGAAAACTAGGTGCGCCCTATGGGCCGGTGCGCCCTATAGGGCAAAAAATACGGTAATTGTGTTTTTATAAATGTTGGAAGCTGCCTAGAGTGGCTGGGCAACCCAGAAAGTCTGTAGCAAGGAAATAGTTATAGCATTTTTGATATTGCCAGAATTGATAAATTAGTCATAACGTACTCTTTCTTCTGATTTGTCTGGGAAATGTTTTACATTGCAATATTACAAAGTTGGACCATATATTTTATCTAATATTATTGGAAAATAAATTAAAAGTATAACTATTCAGACCTAACTCATTTCGTCGGCAAGCATGTTAGCTTCATTCATACTGTCAGACTGTTTTAAAACCCTTGTACTGTTTTTAACCAGTGGTCAGTGACTTGCCCCATATCTCAGAAGTGTGTTTTTGTCTTCCTTTCTAAATCCTTTTATTATATTTTCAAAAGTTAAGGATGAAAACAGTGAAGCAATCTGATGCGTCCTTGATGGCACCAAGGCCAAACATGCTTGATAAAATGCGAGCCACGTAAGGCAAGAAATTGCGGGTTTGCTCTAAGAGGTTGTTTGCATCGAAAAGAGGTCAAAGCAAAGGCAATTTAACAGAGGGTGTCAGGCTTCCCACACTTTGGACTTACATACGTAATAAGAATAGCAGGAGGATGCTGTGAATTAGAATAAACCAATGTTTGCACAGAATGTTGGACAGCTCATTTTCTGCCCTTTCGTCCGGAAATCTGCTGGACTCCCAAGTCCTATCAGCCCCAGCCACCATGGCAAGTGGTCAGGAATAACGGGAGTTACAATTCCACATCTCCTGGAAGATCACAGGTTCCCCATCCCTGCCTTAGATCTACAGTTTGATGCTGCAATTCTGTACCCACTAAGCTCAGAGTAAGCCCCACTGAATTCTTCACCTCTGAGTGTGTGAGGCTAGTTCCCTGGGCAAGGTCAGGCAGAGCCCAACTTGTATTTTTACTGCTGCATTGCTTAAGTGTCCACAGGGAGAAGAATGGAAAGAAAACCAGAACAAGTTGGTCCTGTCTCTTCTGACCCCCTTGGCTGCCCCACCAGGTCCAATGGTCACCAGCTGTCTGAACAGAAGCATACTAGATTGCATGGCATGCTTGAAGGGGGTTCCCCCCGGCAGTGGGTATATTTCATTGTCCCCCGACCAGGGATACCAACTTAAATATGGGGGGCCCTCAGTTGAGCCCCGCCTCAAATAATTGATCACAAGATGTGGCACATGCACACCCTTTGAATGGCAATGCCAATCAACTGGTAAAGGTAAAGGGACCCCTGACCATTTGGTCCAGTCGTGACCGACTCTGGGGTTGCGGCGCTCATCTCGCTTTACTGGCCGAGGGAGCCAGCGTACAGCTTCCGGGCCATGTGGCCAGCATGACTAAGCTGCTTCTGGCAAACCAGAGCAGCGCACGGAAACGCCGTTTACCTTTCCGCCGGAGCGGTACCTATTTATCTACTTGCACTTTTTGACATGCTTTCGAACTGCTAGGTTGGCAGGAGCAGGGACTGAGCAACGGGAGCTCACCCTGTTGCGGGGATTCGAACCGCCGACCTTCTGATCAGCAAACCCTAGGCTCTGTGGTTTAACTCACAACGCCACCCGCGTCCCAATCAACTGGTGGGCCACCTCAAATATTTCATTGAGGGGAGCCGAAGAGACCTTGGCCCCTAGGAGTTGGCGACTATGCCCCCACCCAAAGAAAAGTTCTATATAACTATTTGAGGGTGGTGGGAGGGAGAGAATCAAAATGGGAGTTTTTTAAAAAAATGTTAAAGGAGCAAGTGTTCAGATCCAGTCTGAAAGAATTACATCTCCTTTCCTAGGTTTGCCCTGGCTTCCGAATTGCAAGGGAGCCTATACAGGTTCAGCCAGCCCCTTAACTTCAGACCTCTCTCTGCCCTGCAACATGTGGATGGGGTTTTTTTTTGGGGGGGGTATACCAAGCATGGGCCCACTCTCTTCCCCTCATGTGATTGGAATCACATGGTTTGTAGATGCCCAAATATGGTTATTATCACTGTGCCATCCATCTTCAACCAAGTCTCTTCCCTGAATTACAGTCAAGGTCAGGCATCATTTAAGTATAAGTGAAGTTCAAGGTTGCTGTGTTTATCTGCATTTTGCTCTTACTTACACTGAGGGCTCACCCAGACTTCTTTTCGTGCTTCTTTTGGACTTTAATGCTCTGTGTCAGAGCGTTTTTTTGCTTTCATCCCGGATCTTTCCCTGGGAAAACCTGCATTTCACCACTGAATAGGAGCAAACTGCAATTTGAGGAAAACCCAGCTGCCATTTGCTCAGATTCAGCAGCAAACCACCCGTTTTCCTGGGGGAAAGTGCCAGGATGAAAACAAAACCTGCTCAGACACGGAGCTTTAAATTGTGGCACAAAAGGAAGGTTGGACTTGCTCAGAATCCCAGGACACATCCACAGCTACCTTTTACCTCACTCTTTCCAGGCACAGATCCACACTTAAAAGCTCTGTGTCTGAGCATTTAGTTTTGTTTCGCCCCAGAGCTTTCCCTGCGAAAATTCACTCTTTAGCACTTGGTTGCAGCAGATGTCTGTTCAGGTTTTCTGTGTATTGCCATTTGCTCCAATTGAGTTTTAAAGAGCAGGTTTTCACAGGGAAAGCCCTGGGACAAAAAAAGGGCACTTAGACACAGAGCTTTTAGGCATGGACTGTACCTGGAAAGGGCAGAGAAAATGTAGGAGTTGGTAAGTCCTTGTTTCTTGTTTTGTTGCTCATTTGTTCAGATTGGAGATAAACTTTTTGAGTTTTTCATAGTCTGCTTGTGTTTCCAACACCCAAAACAAAACGGAACAGTTCCATCTGAAGTCAGAGAAGGTTTCCTTTGGTATTTAAAGCTGAACTAACCACCATATTTGACTTGTAAGTAGACTGGAATCAGCCTTAAAAGTTGATGGTCAGCTATGTCTGGATTTGGTGAAGGCATTTGTTACCACTCTTCCATCTCGTGAGTTCCTTGTCTCATTTCCCCCATAGTTTGTTAATACAATTCTGAGGAACTTTGGATGCTGCCCCATACTAAGTGAGGCTCTCAGTCCATCTAGTTCAGCGTTGTCTGGGATTTCAGACTGAGGACATTCTCATGCTTACCTGGAGATGCTGAGGTCTGAAATGGGGATCTTCTGCATGCAGAGATTTGGCCTTTCCTCTCATCAGACAGGTGGTTCTGCTACAGGGTCATATTTCTATCTTCTCTTTGCTTACGGCGTGCTCCAATCAGGATGAGGATCATTAGAGAAGATAGGATATAGGGAGATTAAAGCGAATTGGGAGGGTTGTGGTTTAACACACACAGGAGGTTCCACAAGGCAGGGATCAGTCTTTCGGGTTATGTTCCAGCCTCATAATTTTAGCGCGATTGCTGCTATCCAAAGCTTGGAGGTTGATAAAGTTCTGCACTGTTGGCAAGCGATAGCAATCAACTTTGATCTTTGGTATTCTGGTGTGATTCGGTGTAAACAGTCTTCCTGCTCAATTATACAGGGGGGGCTTATGTCCCCAGAGATCCCTTCTTATAAATCAGATTGCGCAGTAATCCCCACAATGAAGTGTGGAGCCAGCAGGGCAAATGCCGTGCTGCAAGCCTTGTAAGAAACTGACATGACCTCCTGGATGGCATTGTTTGCTACTTTCCAGCTAATAAACTAGCTGGGAAGTAGTACACACAGATCAAAAGGAAGGCCTGATCTCTTTGGCCAAGAGAGAGAGAGAGAAAAAACAGAGAGTTTGCTGAGTGCAAAGAAACAGAATCTCAAAGTGCTTGTGCAATCGTACCTCATTTGCTTGTGGTGAAAGGAGCATCTGATGTTTTTACCAAAGTACTGTAAGTCTCCCCTCCTTGGGCTCTTCCCAAGAAATAACACTAGGAATTACTGACAACAGGCTTGATGAGATTTGGTGCTGAATTTCAACAATGCTGAACATACACGTGAATTTGTTCTACACATTATTCATGCATGCCCCCGGCGCTTGTGAATACATATATGAAGCTGTCTTATATTGAGACCACTGGTCCAGCCAGCTCTATACTGTCTGCTCTGCAACGTCTCAGATGAGACTACAGATAAAAATTTGATCTGGTAGGACACGGTTGCTGAACTACAACTCCCATCATCCCTGGCCATTGGCCATGCTTGCTGGGGCTGATGGGAACTGTGGTTCAGCAACATCTGGAGGGTCAAAGGTTCCTCATGCCTGGCTCACTGTTACATGGAAACGTGGTCACTGTAGCTCACCAAAGCAGCAATAAACTGGGAGGGGGGGTAGGGCAAATGTAACCATAGGGAACACCTATACAGCATCTCAGATCAGTACAGTGGTACCTCGGGTTACAGACGCTTCAGGTTACAGATGCTTCAGGTTACAGACTCTGCTAACCCAGAAATAGTACCTCGGGTTAAGAACTTTGCTTCAGGATGAGAACAGAAATTGCACGGCTATGGCAGCAGGAGGCCCCATTAGCTAAAGTGATACCTCAGGTTAAGAACAGTTTCAGGTTAAGAACAGACCTCCAGAATGAATTAAGTTCTTAACCTGAGGTACCACTGTACTCTGATTATGTGAGAAAATGTAGATCATCCCTTTATGTGAGCCACAAGTTCCATCCCCGCCCCCCAGTCTTTGTAGAAGTGTTTAAAATTTGGTACTGCAAACATTGAGTCAACCACATCCTACTCAGGAACGGATCTACTAAAATCAATGAAGATCAATCACTAACTTAAGCAAATTCATTTCAATAGGTCGAATCTGAGTAAAATTTAGCTGAAAACAACCCGTAATTTCTACTTTGGGTTCCCTTCCTGTGTGTGTTGTTTCAGTGGTATATTGAATTTCTGGCAGATGACTTAAACCTGGCAGATAACATCCTTCTTAGCATCAGCAGAAGATGGGACAATATTAAGCAAGATGGATCATTGGTTTGAATCAATATAAGGCAGCTTCCTATGTTCTCCACATTTCTAGAGGGGAGGAGAAGCTCAAGAGAGTTTTCAATTCAAAAGCATTCACACTGCAAATTTATTCCTGGTTCTAAACTTCTGGAGCGTTAATGGGATTATAATGCATTGCATTTAACAGCTAAATGCAAATCCTGATTTTTAATATTTTTTTACTATTTTTTGTGTGCTCATCTTCTCTTTCTTTTTTGACACTTGAATGCGATGCTCATCAATGTCTTCTTGGAAGCTGTCAAATTATTTAAATGAGCGTGAATCTGACATCTCCCCCCCCCCCACAATCGCTCTCCGCACCAGATAAGAGCATTCCATAAGCACCTTAAAAGGAAGGTTTTCAGGGTTCCTACTTGTGATGGACACCATTCAAGCTTTTCAAAATAAAGGTTTTGAGCGCTTCAATTTAGGAGCTGATTTGCCGCAGCTCATTCCTGGGGAGAGGGAAGTGCAGATGTGCTTTGTTGCTGGGGAGTGGGGAGGAAAGGAGCTGTCAAAGAAGATGGAGGAAAAACTTTTAGACTTCATTACCGCAGGAATGAGTACAACAAAGCATCTCACGGCATTTGAAAGTCACTGATGGTGGATAATGACTTCTTTCTAACAGACTGTTCTCCATTGTTCTTTGCAGATCTAAATGTTCCAGCCGTCGTCTTCTGAAACAAAACAGAGAATTTTGTGACACTGCTTGTTTTGTTTCCAGGAAAAAAGACTTTAAAAAATAAAATAAAAGAATATATATATGGAATCGAGCTGTAACTACGCAATTCTTTCCATGATGTTATTTTGTTGTTATTTGCCATTAGGGCACTTGATGGCCCACTAACTCGCCAGACTCACAAACAGGGTGGCCACTTTGAGAAAAGAAGACACAGATTTAAGAAAGAAAGAACATGCTAATGTATATATGCATAGATGTTAAAAATATTGGAATTATTAGTATAACTTAAATAGAAACAATGGCAATAAGATTGCAACAGAGGTGGCCTCTGTTCCTTTAACGCAGAGGTGGAGCCCGAGGGCCACATTCCATTCTTTCAACCTTTTGAGGGCCGCATGGGCAGAGCTAGAGGCCAAAAGTGGATGGGAAAACAAATGCAAATTTAATCTCTGTACAGTGGACTAGTTTTGACTTCGCACATGCCAGCTTTTGTTGTTGTTTAGTGCAAATTTTTAAATCTTTATTATTATTATTGCTATTATTATTATTATTGCCTGGTGTCTGCAGTTGTTCCCAGTAAGTATGTAAAGCACATCTGGAGCGTCCAAAACAAACAGCAGCAACAAACACTCAAGTTCCTTTTGGCAGGTAGGGAAGAGAAGCCGGCCGGGCTAAAATAGAAGCAAAGCAAATCTATAAAAGGGAAGGCAAATACTTTTGCTGAGAAGCCTCTCTGCCTCTGAGTGTTTGCACCTGACTGAGCGAGGCCAGAATTAGGAAATGCGGTTAGCTTGGCAACCCAATGTCTATTTGTTCGAACACTGACCCCGTGCGTGCGCCAGCCACTTCAAACGCATGTGCAACAAGGAGTGCTGTTGTGATACAGGATGGCACCAGTGGCTTTCGTGAGATAATGTGAACCCCCAAATCAAGGATGTATAGGCTTATAAAGCAATCCTACACAAGTCTAGGGGACGCAGGTGGCGCTGTGGTCTAAACCACTGAGCCTAGGGCTTACCAATCGGAAGGTCAGCGGTTCGAATCCCCGTGAGAGGGTGAGCTCCCGTTGCTCGGTCCCTGCTCCTGCCAACCTAGCAGTTCGAAAGCATGTCAAAGTGCAAGTAGATAAATAGGTACCGCTCTGGCGGGAAGGTAAACGGCGTTTCCGTGCACTGCTCTGGTTTCGCCAGAAGCGACTTAGTCATGCTGGCCACATGACCCGGAAAAATTGTCTGCAGACAAACGCCGGCTCCCTCGGCCAGTAAAGCGAGATGAGCTCCGCAACCCCAGAGTCGTTCACGACTGGACTTAACTGTCAGGGGTCCTTTACCTTTTTTTTTACACAAGTCTATTCAAAAGTCAGACCCTTACTGAGTTCATTGGGACTGACACTCAGGTAAGTAATGTACAGGAATGCAACCTTATTTTCCTGTTTACTATCGCAGGAACAAAGGAAGATGCCTTATAGCTAGCCAGGCCTTTGTCCCATTTAGCTCAGTACTTTTCCACTTTAGCTCTCCATGAATTAAAAAAGGGATCTCTTCCCAGCCATACCTGGAGGTGCTGGGAATTGAGATGCTGGGACCTTTTGCTTACAAAGCAGATGCTCAAGCGCTGAACTATGTGGCCATTCCTCTTTCCTCATTTTCTTACTAATCGCAATTGTATGCAACACCTTTAACCTGACTCCCAGTGGCTCCGTCACATTTGAATAAAGGTGTGGGGAAAGTATTTGCCTGCTCTTCACTGACTTCTAAGGAATGGGAGTGCTAATGGGAGCTGTGCTCTAGTCCATACAACAGGTCTGTTGTTGTTTAGTCGTTTAGTCGTGTCCGACTCTTTGTGACCCCATGGACCAGAGCACGCCAGGCACTTCTGTCTTCCACTGCCTCCCGCAGTTTGGTCATGCTGGTAGCTTCGAGAACACTATCCAACCATCTCATCCTCTGTCGTCCCCTTCTCCTTGTGCCCTCCATCTTTCCCAACATCAGGGTCTTTTCCAGGGAGTCTTCTCTTCTCATGAGGTGGCCAAAGTATTGGAGCCTCAGCTTCAGGATCTTTCCTTCCAGTGAGAACTCAGGGCTGATTTCCTTAAGAATGCCTTCCCTTCATGGATCACTGCCTTGCCGCGGTAAAGGGGCTTGAATAGCTCAGAGAAGTTATGAGCTATGCCGTGCAGGGCCACCCAAGATGGACAGCTCATGGTGGAGAGTTTTGACCAAACGTGATCCACCTGGAGCAGGAACTGGCAAGCCACTCCAGTATCCCTGCCAAGAAAGCCCCATGGACAAAGACAACAGGTCTACCAAGGCTTTACTGTATGTATGCCTGCATCCAGCCTGAAGTTTCCTTGCCACCAAATAAATTGTCTCATCAGCTGAGAACTGAGTGCATGATGGGGACCAAACACCATACGGAAGAGGGGGGAGCGATGTTGAACTTGGGTCCTGTTTCTGGGCTTCCTGTAAGCATCTAGTTTGCCACTGCAAGAACAGGATACTGGGTTAGGAAAGATAAAGGACCTCTGGACAGTTAAGTCCAGTCAAAGGTGACTATGAGGTTGCGGCACTCATCTCGCTTTCAGGCTGAGGGAGCCGGCGTTTGTCCACAGACAGCTTTCCAGGTCATGTGGCCAGCAGGACTAAACCACTTCTGGTGCAACGGAACACCGTGACAGAAACCAGAGCGCACGGAAACACTGTTTACATTCCCATCGCAGTGGTACCTATTTATCTACTTGCACTGGCGTCGAACTGCTAGGTTGGCAGGAGCAGGGACCGAACAACAGGAGCTCACCCCGTTGCAGGGATTTGAACCAGAGCTGTAGCTAGGTGATCTTGCGCCCCCGGCAGAACCGTCCAGATTGTACCCCCTAACCACAGACAAATTAGCTCTTCTTTCCACCTCTTCCAGCCCCCCCCCCAATTCAATTCACCCTCTATTAAAAACCTTTTCTTATGACGGAATATTTTAGCTAATTTTGTGGGGCCTGCGCCCCTGGGGGGGGTCCACCTCACACACACACCCAGCTACAGCCCTGATTCGAACCGCCAACCTTCTGATTGGCAAGCCTAAGAGGCTCATTGGTTTAGACCACAGCGCCACCCGCATCCCTCAAGGATGCTGTACTAGATGGTCCTTTGGTCCTGCAGAGCCCTTCTTCTGTTCTTTTCACATGCGCCCTGAGGCTCCTTGCTTCTCTTATCTGCAAGCAGGGTATCATAAACAGATACGGCAACTAGGACTAGTGAGGCCACCAACCACTGAGAACAGGACCATTTACGTGCTGGATTGATCCACTCACCATTTTGAGTTGCATTAGGCAACCTCCTAGAATACAGATCAATGCAACTATAAAAACCAGCAGCTAGTGAGTGACAAGGCTTGCAGAGGATTGGCTAGTTAAATTTTCTCTCTTATAAAACTCTTTCTCTCCCTCTCTGGGAATATCTTCCGACAGGCCATTTCAACACAAACCGGCAGAAGTGATTTCAAATGGAAACACTTAGAAAACAGAGGCGAAGGTCAAGAAAATTGTGACATGTTAGTTATTGCTGCCTCCAAAACACGGACTAATGGGGACTAATTTCACAAATAGGTAACAGGAAAGAGGCTAGGCAGCTCCTTGCTTGGGAATGCCACAGAAAGAGAACAAGTGGAGCTTGCAAGAATGTTGCCGGGCAGAAGGCTCATTGTTCCAGCCAGGATTAACTCCCACCATCCCTGATCACACTGGCAGGGCCTGATGGGAGCAATATTTGGACTGCCTGCCCTTAAAAGGAGTAATGGTTTGCTTCTGCTACTCCTATCAGGCAGTCCGAAACATATGGAGAATGCCAGACTGATGGAGGCTGTTCCAGTTGCTCCCCGCTTCTCAGCCAGCATGCAAGTTGAGCGTTTTCTCAGGTTGTCTCTCGCGGTTCTGTGCACCCCGTGCAAAATGAGCATAGCTTTGGTGGTAGGCCCTTGGTCCGCTTGCAGAAACCTTTTGCAGCGGCTGACGGGGAGGCCGCGGCTTCCAGCTGGTGTACTCGCCTTCCCAGCATTGCCCATTCTGGGATGGTGGCAGCCTAACAACATCTGGGTTCCCGCATCCCTGAACCCACCCAGGCGTCCTTTGGAGGCGCAATCCCATTGATGCGGGATTTAAAGCGCGCACAGGGTTTTGTTCCCCCCCCCGCAAGCAAACCCGTTTACACCGCATGCCACTTTACTCCTAGTTAACTGCGGCTGCAACCTTGCACTCCAACCCTGCGCAAGCCCCACTGAGTTTAAACGGCGCCTCCGTGCGCAAGTGAGGCTGCAGGCGGGCAACCGCGATCCTAGGCACAGGATAGTGCTTCTTTCGCATCAATGGCGAGCCGCGTGCCTGGATCTGCAGAGGTGCAGCTGGACCTGTGCAAACTGCCCTCGGATGTCTGATCATGCCTTGCAGTGTTTGCTTGGCGCGCGCCTTTGGCATCGCATCCCCGGGCTCGCTGGTTGTTGCAACGTTTGCTTGCGCCAGGCAGCCGGGAGAGACCAGCCAGATCCCTGCGGATTGCGCACACGGCCCGCCCTGCTGGATGAACGCGGGGGCGTCTGGCGCTTCTTGGGGGGTGAGGACGGAGGGGAGGGCCCCTGCAGGCTCAAGGGGGTGGGATCCAGGGAGGGAATGAGGGGTGAGATGCCGGGTATGGGTGATAATTGCAAAGTGGGGCTGCGGTGAACCAGTGACAAATTGAGAGTTGAAAGGAATTTGCGATTGCTAATGGCGATATGGGGGGGGGGATTTTCGAGAGAATCGGAGTGATCCCGTCATCCCCGATGAAGAATGGGACAGGAGCAGGATAGAAAGATGCCGGGTGGGGCCCCGATCCTATGCATGCTTACTTGGAAGTAAGCTTTCACCCTAAGTAAGCATGGGGAAAGGATTGTGTGCTTGAACTTGGTGCAATTTACTTCCGAGTAAATCTGTATGGGGATCAAGCACTCAGGTTTCAATCCTGTGGGCACTTACCATGATGCCGTGCACCGGACTGAAACATATTGCAAGCTCAAATGCGTGTTTACTCAAGAGTAAGTCCCACGGAATTCAGTTGGGCTTGCTCCTGTTAGGTAAAGCGTGCATAAGTTTGCAGCCTGGATCTTCCCGGTCTCAAGCCTTTTACTTTGGAGCATGTTCTACTGATTTCAATAGGAATGGTTTTGAGCAGCCTCACATTTTTAAAGATCCGGTGTAATCCATTGATCCAAGGCTGCTTTGTACAAAGGGCAAAGCAATTGCATGCACGGATTGATGTGAAGTCAGGCGCAGATTGTGATTTGCAGTCTCAATGTCCTAGTTTATGTGCACAGAGCAAAAAAGCATGCATGCATGTACAGTCAGCGCACATTATTATTTATTACATTTGTATACCAATCTTCATCAGTAGTTTGCAGGGCGGTTCGCAACAAAAAAAAATACACAATCAAAACAAAAAATACACAATCAAAACAAAAACCACATAAGGCACACTAGTTAGTGGGTACAGTGGATTTTCTTATCATTTCTGCAGTAGGCCCAGAGAACATGTTGATAGGAGGCCTAAACTGGTTGAGTAAACAAATAAATAATTGAGTTAGCAGCACTCGCTTCCAAGAAAGGCCGAGTGTGGTTGTTGTGCTTATGTCCTCCTTTGCGGGCTTCCCACAAACCATTTTGTTTTTTTGTGGTTTTTTTAAAATGATATTTATTAAAGATACATGAAAGTACAGAATAAAGAAAAAGTATAAAGTTTTAAGATATAACAAAAACAGTAAAAAATAAGAAAAAAAAACATACAAAATAGAACAGTTAAAAACACAATAATGTTCCATAACCTATCTTCCTTACTCTTATTTCCCCGGACCTCCTCATACCTCCCTTCTTTGTATTCCAATTCAGTTTGTTGGTTCAGCAAATCCTTACCATTAATCTTTTACCCAATTGTTAACCTTTTTTCCATGTCTCTTAAAGCATTACAGCTAAAAACCTCTTAGTTTCTATCCAACATCCTTCTAAAGTTCCTTAATTTTGCAATATTTCTGTAAATAGTCCTTAAATTTCTTCCAGTCTTCTTTCACCGACTCTTCTCCCTGGTCTCGGATTCTGCCAGTCATTTCCGCCAGTTCCATGTAGTCAATCACCTTCTTCTGCCATTCTTCCAAAGTGGGTAGATCTTGTGTCTTCCAATACTTTGCGATAAGTATTCTTGCTGCTGTTGTAGCATACATGAAAAAGGTTCTGTCCTTCTTTGGCACCAGTTGGCCGACAATGCCCACAAACCATTTTGTTTACCGCTCTGAGCTCTGGATTCTGGACTGGGTGGGCCACTGGCCAGATTTTCCAGGCTTGTCTTACGTTCTTAAAGGTGTCCGGGGGCTGGGAAGCAAAATTTCAGGATGGGATTGGGATTAGAAAGGTTTAGGGTTTGAGATAATAAGGGGAACTGCAAGTCAGGTAGAGGAATTACCGTGGGGGAGTGCTGTATTTGAGTTTAGAAAAAAAGAGAGAGCAAAATATGGGATGGCGCATATGCAAGATGAGCATTGAAGAGGTTGCTATCAGTAATAAATTCTTGGTGGGCAGTGTCATTAGAAGGATAGTCTGGGCTGGGGCGCCTCCAGCCGAAGAGCGAAGTTATTAAAGTGAGATGTTTAGATTTGGATTACGAGACTACCTTCCAAAAATGCACACAAGCCTCCGTAGATTTTTGGTAGCGTTTTTAACGTACTGAAGGTTATATAAAATCTAAACTAGAAGGAGGGAAGAAACATATCTCTTTCAACACACACACAATTCCTGTCTGTTCATTTGCGGGATATTTTTTTTACTTATTGCAGGCAACTGAACAAACTCAGAAAGTGGAGCCTGAACCTTGTAGTTGAAGAAAAAGGGGCTTTGTGAGTTGGCAGAAGAGGTTCTAGGTTGTAGAACAATACAGATGATTTAGGGATAGTTTGGAACTGAATAAAAGGGTGCATTATCCCTGGCATTAGATTAGGATTACTAGTTGGAATTTTCAGCTCTAATTTGGTATTAAAAACATTTTGGGTGAATCCAACAGAAGGGAAATGGGTAGAGGACAGAAGGCAGAGGAAATTAGGGTGTGGGGCTTTTGAAAACACCTGCTTTTCTGTCTTGCTTTCAGACTGTATGTGCATCTACTAAATGATGCTATGGATTATGGGTCCAGTGTGAGTACAGGATATTTGGGCAAACCTTATCCTTTCCACAATTATGCATCTGTGTTTATTTGGGGAAGAGGGCTGTCAAATACCTGCATGTTGTTTACCGTCGATTGGATGGTGCCATGGCTGTGTTTTCCCACTGGATGCTAACAAAACAAAACAAAAGCTCCAGCAAAAATAAATAAATACCTTGCATGCATTAGAAGCAACAATTCCACAACAAACACCAGTCTGCAATTTAGGCTGTGTACACACTCCCATTTACTCTGCACCCTGTGTGTTTCCATGGCTGGTTTAGGAAGCGGTGTGGACCCATTAGCCACAATTTATATTCTGCATCTGTACCGTCATTTCTCTCCCCTGCCCCCAATAATTTTTATTAAGTTTTTCACAATTATAACAAATATAACATAGAAAAAAGAAAAGAAAACACACAAGAGAAGACACCTTAAAATAGAAAAAAAAAAATTAAACACATATCATTTGAAAAACCCAAATTATCTTACATTGTTAATTGACTTCCTCAAATCCCTCCCTTCTGAATTTCATTGTATCTGCATATAACAGCTCTCAAATATCATCCTTCAACTAAAATTATTTCCAACAATTACCTATCTTCTCTTTTCTTGATATTCTAAATCCAAATTACTTACAATTGAATCTTATTTTAATCCTCGGCCTGTTTAGCACTTTCAAGTGACTTCTAATTATTTATATTACAATATTTAGTTAAATAGTCCTTAAATTTCTTCCAGTCTTCTTGATAATCCTTTTCTTTCTGGTCGCGGATTCTTCCAGTCTGGTCGGCTAGCTCCAAAAAGTCCAACATCTTCATCTGCCATTCTTCCACCATTGGAATTTCTTGGGATTTCCAATTTTTAGCTAACAGCAGTCTTGCCGCTGTGGTGGCATACAAAAATAGTCTAACATCTTTTTTGGGCAATTCCTATTATTCCAAGTAGAAAGGCCTCTGGTTTCTTAATAAATGTGTTTTTCAACATTTTTTTCAATTCATTATAAATCTTTACCCAGAAGTCTTTCACCTTCCACCACATATAAAAAAAGGTACCATCTTTTTCTCTACATTTCCAACATATATTATCATTCATATGGCAGATCTTTGCCAATTTTACTGGGGTTAAGTACCATCTGTACATCATTTTCATGATGTTTTCTTTTAATACATTACATGCAGCAAACGTAACCCCTTTCATTCCTTTTGGAATGAGATCGACATTCAAGTTTTTAGGTTTTATTTTTGAAAGTAACAGATGCAGAAAGCACAGGGAAATGGCCTAAACATGATTGAAGGGGGATCCCTACTCAGCACCCCCCTTTTTTAAAAAGCAAAGTTCTGTTTTGGGGGAGGGTGAAAAATAGAGGGCTGGAGAGCCCCTTCCCCGACTTGCAAGCGACCTGCCAGCTGGTTCTGTTTAGCATTCTCACCAAACACCCCTTTTACCTCTGCGGTCGGTCGCTGCGAAGGACTGATTGCTTTGGCCCCGTGACCTTCTGTGGCGCTTCTCTAACCTGGATAAACTTTGTTCCCTGGTAGCATCCGTCTGCTGAGCCCAGCAATGGAGGACGCAGAACCCGGTCAGCAGTTCACTAAAATCAAAGGTTCCGAAAGGGTCGGGAAGATTGGCAGAGAAGAAGGACAGCTGGAAGAGGGTTCAGATACGCAGCTACCCCCGTCTACAGGAGAGGGAGGGAAAAGCCTCGTTTTGCTGAAGACGGTACATTTGAAGGAAGGTAAGGATGATTTTGAGGTGGCTCCTCCTGCCCATCAGCACACCTTGACGCAACAAGAGGCAAGCATCCTGCATCCTTTTGAGGTGGTCCCACAGAGCGAAACTGCAGAAGAGGAAAGCCTGGTGATAAGTTTGCCGGAGGTTTTCTATGCAGTCCATGAAACGGAAGGGGTGCACACCCACGGCCTGAAAGAAGTGCAGGCGTTAAATCACGGAGGTGAAAGGTCAGCGGAGAAGACCCCGGACGCCCTTCGGGTTCATGTGCAGTCGGTAAGGCAGCTGTGGGAGAACCTGGATATAAATATGCTTCAGACCTTTTGGAAGCAAAGGGGGATTGCACTGGCTTTCTGTCCAGGGCGGGTTGATTTTAATCAAGGAAATTGAAACCAACGGTAGTGCGAGAAGTGAGGTTACAGGGAACCAGGCAGAGGGCCTTCTTGGTTATGGCACCCGCCTGTGGAATGCCCTCCCATCAGATGTCAAGGAAATAAACAACTACCTGACTTTTAGAAGACATCTGAAGGCAGCCTTGTTTAGGCAAGTTTTTAATGTTTGATGCTTTATCGCTTATTATTATTATTAATATTCTTTTGGGAGCCGCCCAGAGTGGCTGAGGATACCCAGCCAGATGGGCAGGGTATAAATTTATTATTATTATTATTATTAGGTGGGAGGGAGGTGATTTAAATACAGTTCCTCTTTAGTATTTCCTATAATTATTTCCTTTTAAAAATGGTGGCGCTGTGGGTTAAACCACAGAGCCTAGGACTTGCCGATCAGAAGGTCGGCAGTTCGAATCCCCACGACGGGGTGAGCTCCCGTTGTTTGGTCCCTGCTCTTGCCAACCTAGCAGTTCGAAAGCATGCCAGTGCAAGTAGATAAATAGGTACCACTCCAGCGGGAAGGTAAATGGTGTTTCCGTGCTCTGCTCTGGTTCGCCAGAAGCGGCTTAGTCATGCTGGCCACATGACCCGGAAGCTGTACGCTGGCTCCCTTGTCCAGTAAAGCGAGATAAGCGCCGCAACCCCAGAGTTGGCCACGACTGAACCTAATGGTCAGGGGTCCCTTTACCTTTAGGTACCCTTAGTCTCGCTACTGTGCTTTGCATCCAGCCTAGAACCCATTGGATCTCAAGTTGGCCCCACTGCTGTCATATGCTGGTACAGCAGTCTGCCTGCCCGCTACTCTGGTCACAATGCCCAGCAGCTGCTGCAAGTGTAACAGAAGCTCCTCTGCTGCATTAAGCCCTGCCAGGCAGTGCTCAGTGTTAGGAGTCGTGACTTAAGAAGAGTTCCAACGCTCTCCGCAAATTTTTGCCTGGGATGGAATCATCAGTCTGCACACTACGCTTGATCTTGGCCAAAAGGCCGAGAAGCGAATCACTCATCTGGAGCTATGTGTTGTGTGCCTACAATTCGCCACATTTTGAGTTAATGCTCTTTCTCCTTTTTGTCTTAAAAGCAGAAGGATAGAAGTAAATATGCAATTGCAGCTGGTGGCAAGGACCAGCAGTTCTTTGTAGCAGAGGAAGACGGAATCGGCCATTCCCTTGCGATGGAGGAGGCAAAACCTCTGAGTGGCAGAATAGAAGGAGTTGCCTCTCTGTGCCACAGCTCTGAAAACAAGGACCTAATTGAGGCGCCTGCATCAAAACAGCGTCTTGTTGTGACAAGCACCAATGCTGCCATGAAAGCCCACAGCAACAGGCAAGAAGGTAAGGAGTCGCCTGCACAACAGTGTATATTGCACTTCCTTTGTAAATACAGATTGTTGTAAGGGCTTCTGGTTCTTTGATGGTGCCTGCTGTGTGGATGACTGTAGTTAGGAAATTGGGGTAAGTAGACCCTTGTTCAGATCCAGTTGGACAGCTACTTGGGCACCTTTTAGGGCAGCGGTTCTCAACCTGTGGGTCCCCAGATGTTGGACTACAACTCCCATCATCCCTAGCTAGCAAGGCCAGAGCTCAGGGATGATGGGCGTTGTAGTCCAACAACATCTGGGGACCCACAGGTTGAGAACCGCTGTTTTATGGGATGTCGTTAGTTTGCTGTTCTTTTTTATGCATAGTTATTCATTCGTGCATGGTACTTCGGCCCCTCCAAGTGCCCCTGTTTTCCAAGGACAGTCCCAGATTTACAGAAGCCGTCCCAGTTCCTGATTTGATCCCAGAATGTCCCGCTTTCCCTCAGGAGGTCCCTATTTTCTTAGGAGAAATGTTGGAGGGCATGGAGTTCTGCAAACCCTGAGCCAAGGAGATAAGTAACTATACAACCTTTAGTTGACTTCTGAAGACAGCCCTGTACAGTGGTACCTCGGGTTACAGATGCTTCAGGTTACAGGCGCTTCAGATTACAGACTCCGCTAACCCAGAAATAGTACCTCAGGTTAAGAACTTTGCTTCAGGATGAGAACAGAAATTGCGCGGCGGCAGCGGGATGCCCTATTAGCTAAAGTGGTACCTCAGGTTAAGAACAGTTTCAGGTTAAGAACAGACCTCCAGAACAAATTAAGTTTTTAACCCGAGGGGGTGGCGCTGTGGGTTAAACCACAGAGCCTAGGACTTGCCGATCAGAAGGTCGGTGGTTCGAATCCCCGTGACAGGGTGAGCTCCCGTTGCTCGGTCCCTGCTCCTGCCAACCTAGCAATTCAAAAGCACGTCAAAGTGCAAGTAGATAAATAGGTACCGCTCCGGCGGGAAGGTAAGCGGTGTTTCCGTGCGCTGCTCTGGTTTGCCAGAAGCGGCTTAGTCATGCTGGCCACATGACCCAGAAGCTGTACGCCGGCTCCCTCGGCCAACAGAGCGAGATGAGCGCCGCAACCCCAGAGTCGGTCACGACTGGACCTAATGGTCAGGGGTCCCCTTTACCTTTACCTTACCACTGTATAGGGAAGCTTATTTTAATGTTTGATGTTTCATTAAGTTTTTATATATGTTGAAAGCTGTCCAGAGTGCCTGGTGTTAGTCAAGACGACAGGCCAGTGGGACTCCAACGGGGGGAGGGGGGTTTCATATTAGCTGCAGAACCAGGGGGAGCGCCTGTTTGAATGCTAGTCCCTGGTCAGTAACAGTGCCCTGACGGTGGGCTTCTCAGCGACAACTGGTTGTCCAAAGAGGAGCTTGAAACTGAATAGACCTTTAGGCTGATCCAGCAGGGCTGTTCTCACGGGAAGGGGAATGCAGGATTTGCACTGAGGGGGAGGATGGCCGTATTAAAAGTGCCTGCGTCTCGTTGCCGACCTGCTTTCTCAGTTCATAATATGTGCCCTCAGCCCACCGAGCGGTTTGTTGTTTCCATAGCGCTTGTTATTAAGGCAAAAAGAAGTTAATGGTGGAGGAAGGGGAAAGTTCACTACTTTTATCCTGTTTGGGCTTAACTTTTGTGGAGGAAACGTCCTTGGTAAACTCGGAGCTAGTGAAAGATTGTTTGCGTGGGCATGAATCACTGGCAAAGAGGACAAATTTGCTCAGCTCATCCAGGCCACCAGGTAATATTTGCAGGCTGACTCACAGAAAGGCCGCCCCAGAAAGAGGCAACTGCCTTTGCGGGGTGAGTCGCGATGGGGGGGAAGATGGTTTTAACTTCTGCACCAGTGGTGCAGAGGATCTTGTCTGTGGCTTATTTGACCTGAAACCAGCTGCGTTCTCCTAGGGGATGTGCTGCACCGTTGCAGTTTGTGCGCGTTCGCCTGTTTCAGCGCGTCAGGCCTTCATCGCCACGTGAAAAAGCACTCTGAGGAAAAGCCCCACCTATGCCACCTCTGCCTTAAGGCTTTCCGGACTGTCTCCCTCTTGCGCAACCACGTGAACACGCACACAGGTACGGACTGGCACACGTGGCTTCCGGCAAATTGGGAGCCAAAGTGGGAGACAACATAGATCTTTCAGGACTGGTGTGATATGGTCGTGGGCGGCCACTCCTGGTCACCAGCCTAGCGGTCGCATTCGGAATTAGTTGCAGTTTCTGAGCCGCCTTCAAAGTGGGGCAAAGGGGTGGAAGGAACAAGAAACCCCGACAATAACAAACTGGCATTACAAGCTACAAGAATTTGCTGAAATGGCGCAGTTAACAAATACCCTGAGAGGCAATTCAAAACAAAAATTTATGGAAAAGTGGGATGGATATAAAACATATGTTCAAAAATACAGTAAAGGTTCGCTATCTATGCTAGCATTTGATTGACGTTGGAATGAGACTGAGTTGAGAAATAAGACTAAGAGCACATATTGATATAGGAATGTATTAGATAATATGTAAAGAAATATATAATAATAAGAATACATTCATTTGTAAAAAAGGACTATACAACGGGAAAGACAGGAAGTCTAGTGTGTGGGTATGTATATGATTTGGGGGGGGGGATTTGTTTTTGTTTTTTCTCGGTTTTTTGTTTCGTTTCATTTTCTTTCCAGATATATAAAATTTGTATATAATTTATGTATACGTGTTGGAAATTATATTATAGTAAGTCCTGTAATATAATATGACAACGTTTACCGATGTAATATAAGAATGTTAACAAATAAATAAAATGCAAATTCAAAAAAAAAAAAAAGGTTACCCCACATAGAGTGCATTGCAGTAGTCCAGGGGAGTCCAGCATCTTGCTCTCGTGGGGGTCAAACGGATGCTCATTATGGGAAACCAGCGAGCAGAACATGAGAGCAAGTGAGTTCTCCCCTCTTGCACTTCCCAGCGACCCACCACTGCCTTCAGCTGCGGGGGCAGAGGGTAGCCACCCCGGCTAGCAGCCGCCGACAGCCCCCTCCTCACGTCTGGTTTCTCCCGACAGGGACTAAGCCGTACAAGTGCAGCGAATGCGACATGGCCTTCGTGACCAGCGGCGAGCTTTCGCGGCACCGGCGGTACAAGCACACCCTTGAGAAGCCCTTCAAGTGCTCGTTCTGCAGCTATTGTAGTGTGGAGGTAAGTGCGGCGCTTGCAGGAGAACCGCTCCGAGTGCCGTACTTGGTAAAGAGGACAGGCTTCTGTTTTGCTTTTCAGAGGGAAGGACGCTTTCCGAGAGAGGCACCTGCCACTTGCAATGTGCACGCTCACTTCTGTTCCTTCGCCTGCGACGTTCACTATTCGTATGCAGCATTTACGTGGCTAAAGCTTTGCGGGTGGCTTATCTGCGGCGGGCCGGTGGGAACAGCCAACAAGACAATGAAAAATAAGACAGCAATAGGAACAGAGGGTGCTGATTCATAGGGAGCCAGGTCGTTGGTTCATCTATGCCTGTACAGTCGTACCTCGGCTCTCAAACGCCTTGGGAGTCGAACGTTCCGGCTCCCGAACGATCAAAAACCGGAAGTGAATGTTCCGGTTTTCGAACGTTCTTTTGGAAGCCGAACATCCGACGGGGCTTCCATGGCTTCCGATTGGCTGCAGGAGCTTCCTGCAGCCAATCAGAAGCCGCACTTTGGAAGTCAAACGTTCCCGAACAGTTTCTGTTTGACTTCCGAGGTACAACTGTACCGAAAAATGTCATGGATTTTACTTCCCCTTGGCCCCAGCCAGCGTATAAGGGACGATGGGAGGTCCAGCAAGATTTGAAAGGCCACAGATTCCCCAGAACTACCTGGTGAAATACAGTGGTACCTCAGGTTACATACGCTTCAGGTTACACACTCCGCTAACCCAGAAATAGTACCTTGGGTTAAGCACTTTGCTTCAGGTTGAGAACAGAAATTGTGCTCTGGCGGCGCGGCAGCAGCAGGAGGCCCCATTAGCTAAAGTGGTGCTTCAGGTTAAGAACAGTTTCAGGTTAAGTACGGACCTCCAGAACAAATTAAGTACTTAACCTGAGGTACCACTGTAACTTAATCTGTTTCATTTGGCAATAACATGCAGTCTTAAAAACAGATACAAAACCAGCCAGGTTATCATTCTGTAATATGAAGTGGTGAGTTCCACCAGTTTACTCTCAGCTCAGGGGAAAACTAAACCTAATATTTTTTTAAGAAAAAGTTTGGAATTTCCAACCATTTGTCACGATGGCAATCACTGACATTTATAACACTTGTAGTAGCAAACTTAATTTTTTTTTTAGTGATGAGTTATTCTGGCAGGGTGCCTGGCACTATCATGCTTTTTAATTTCTTCCCGTCGGTAACCACAGGCCAGCAAGTTGAAGCGTCACATTCGCTCGCATACAGGAGAGCGCCCGTACAACTGCACCCTTTGCACCTATGCTAGCAGGGACACTTACAAGCTGAAGAGGCATATGGTCACTCACTCTGGTAAGAATTAGGAATGCGGCAGTTGTCATGGAAATATTTCACTGAAGGAGGGGAGCGATGCCTCCCTCTATGAGCTTAGAGTCTTAGACAGTGCCGGGCCGTAGAAGGAGGAAAGGGCAAGAAACTCCCTGGGAACAGTTGGAGGGGAGGTATACAGAACTGTCTTCGTTCCCGCTAATAGCAAACTCAGGTACTCAGTGCCAACAGGATAGAAGTCAACTCAGGGCCAGTGAAAAACAAGAGGGAGGTATTGGCGTAGCTGGTGGAACACCAAGACCCTACCAACGTGTCCTGTTTATATCCTAGATTAGTGTTGGCTCGAAATCACACTCTCCAACTGCAGGTATGAGTTAGCTAGGTGACATCCATGATCTGCACAGAAACAGTTGTTTTCTCTTCAACATTAAGTTGAGAAAGGGTTCTGTGTGACCTAGAAACTTGCATCCTGAATCTAAAACTCTCGTTGGGTAAATTAAAATCAATGGGTGGCATTCAGCTAAGTTTTACTTACCGGTACTTAATTAATTGACAAAACTTATATACCACTTATTACGTTGGATAGTTGGTAGAGCACGAGACTCTTAATCACAGGGTCATGGGTTTGATGTTGGGCAAAAGACTCCTGCTTTGCAGGGAGTTAGACTAGATGACCCTCGTGGCCCCTTCCACCTCTGTGATTCTGTGACGTGTTGCGAGTTTTATGTGGCACATGTTCCCGTTCCGTGCGATTACCATGGGATGAATCAAGCAGACAAACCAGAATTCTTGAAATCTAAATGAAATTAATACATGTTAAAGATGCTATAGAGGAGAAATACACACCTGACATTTACAACAGCAATAAAATCAGGAGTAAAACAAAAAAGAAGTCTGTGTGTAAAACATCACTGCATTTTTCAGCTGTGACATTTTGCTTGCTAATTCACATCTTCCATCTTTTTCCTCCCAGGTGAAAAACCCTTTGAGTGTCAGATTTGCAAGGCCAGGTTCACTCAGGCTGGAACTCTGAAGTTCCACATGTTGCACAAACACGAGGAAAATGTGCCAAAATACCAGTGTCCACACTGTAACACGTCTGTGGCCAGAAAGGGTGATTTAAGTAAGTCCCATTACCTCTTTCTTTCTTTTTTTTAAGCGTTCTTTGAAATCGACGGAGAATTAGGCTTGGCATCATTTTAACTTAAGAAACTGCTACCTCAGATATATTGTTAATCTGGCTCATTGGTTCCAAATGAATACCTAGCTTGAAATCTTTGCAGCAGGCAAACCGTGATTTCTCAAATGCGAGCAGCAAGAAGGCTTTTTGAAGAGGCCAGCAAGCATTATTCCAATGCATGTACAAATCAGTTGAGTCCAAGATGCTTATGAAATTCTCCCATCAAAATTTCTCTTATTTTTTGTTTGTTTGTTTCCAGCTCTGGGGTTGAAAATACTCACTGAAGAGCAGCTTCACTGAAGAGCAGGATATAAACAAATAAATTGCTTTGCAGGAATGTGTGTGCTAGGCACAATTGAATACACAAATTGTATATGGGGGGGGGGGGGAGAATTGCACCAAAAAGCTGGTGAACTTCCAGGAGAACTTCTTACTTTCTTTCCCAAATGCAAACAGATGTAGTCCAGTCTACTCATCGGTAGATCAACTGCTTTGCATGCGGAAGTGTCAAGTTCAGCCTTGGGCAGCTGCAGGTATCACTAGTAGAGAAGTCTGTCTGAAATCCCAGAGAGCAAGTGTAGACTAAACTGGTCTGACCCAGCCTAGTTATGCAAGTGGCGTGCCTCCCCCAATCTCTGCCAAGCGGGAGCAGGGTTCCAGGGCGTCCCCAGGATTTTGGTTCCATTGGGAAATCAAGGCACAGCGGAGACTATTGTCTTTTAAGAAATAGGGTTTATTGCACACATGCGGCCTAGGACCCACATACCTACGGGACTGCCTCTCCTGGTATGCCCCGCAGAGGACCTTAAGGTCCACAAATAACAACACTTTGGTGGTCCCGAGCCTCAAGGAGGTTAGATTGGTTTCAACTAGGGCCAGGGCCTTTTCAGCACTGGCCCCAACATGGTGGAACGCTCTGTCACCAGAGACTAGGGCCCTGCGGGACTTGACATCTTTCTGCAGGGCCTGCAAGACCCTGGCCTTTGGTTTGGACTCGGTCTGACCCTTATGTTTCCCTTCCCTTATGGTCTTGATTTATCAGCTATTTTAAAATGAGGCTGCATTTTAAATTCCATTTTAACCTGTAGTTTAAATTGGGGTTTTTTTCCCCTCGCTCTCCCCCCCCCCCCATTATGTTTTTGCTGTGATTTTATTTTATTGGTGTTAGCCGCCCTGAGCCCGGCTCTGGCCGGGGATTGCGGGGTATAAATTATTATTATTATTATTATTATTATTATTACGTTGGAGTCCAAGGCATCCTACATGCTGTCTCCGTGTCCCAGCCTGCCAAGGTGGTTCCACCTGGGGGTCCCTGGCTCCACCTTCCTCCTTCCCAAGGATGCTTGCTTCAAGCCACTTCTCCCCATCTGTCTCCCCTCCCCTCTGTTTTTCAAAAAGGGCACATTTTCCCTGTGTGACCTCACTCTCCCAGCTGCCTTTCCTTCTGTTGACTAACAGGCAGCAGCCCCTGCCTGGTAAATTGTTCTTTAATGGCCCGGGTACTTAGTTCTCCTCCTGTTCTTAACGGCATTGCTATCACTGATCTCCCAAACAGGAGAATTGGTTCAGCCTCTGTTTTAAATCTGAGGTCTGGCATCTTCCCTTCAATACAGTCATACCTCGGGTTACAGACGCTTCAGGTTGCACATTTTCGGGTTACGGACACGCCAAAACCCGGAAGTACCGGAACGGGTTACTTCCAGGTTTCGGCGCATGCGCAGAAGCACTAAATCACACTTTGCGCATGAGCACCAAATCGCGACCCATGCAGATGCAGCGCTGCAGGTTGCGAACGCTGCAGGTTGCGAACGTGCCTCCCGCACGGATCACGTTCGCAACCCAAGCGTCCACTGTACTCTGAATATTATCTGAATTCTACCATTTATTAATTTCTGGCATACTCCAGCAGTTGTGGTGCTTTTGCATCCTCAAACTCTGCTACGCCTAGCTTTTCCGATTATTCCAAGGGAGGTTTTTACGCAGGAGCAATACAAGGCCTGCGAGACTAGGCAACTTTCCCCAATTTCTGTTTGTACCAAAGAGAACTGGCACCACCTTGTGGCAGTTCTGAATTGCAGGAACATTTGTGGCTGTGTTCTAATCCACAGAGTCAATGAAAGCGTGTCTTTGGTGTGGGTCCTGGGCAATGTTGCTAGTCTGACAAGGGGGGTGGGGTGGGATGGGGACCCATAAAGCTAAGTTGAGGTTTCCTTCCTTGAAATTCATCAAAAGTGGAGGAACAGCTGAAGACAGTGCTTTTTCTTAATGCTAGGCCAGCCTAGCATTATGGGGGTGAAAAACCTGTGTGTGTGTGTGTGTGTGTGTGTGTGTGTGTGTGTTTATCTATCTTCTGTGAATAATTTCCAGTCTGACTGGGGTTGGTGAGTGTCTCATGAACTTAAACCTTGGTCTTGAGTGTACCTTTTTCCCCGTGGAATTGTAAGACACTATGAATAGAAATGGCAGAATATAACATATGCCTATTGTGGGACGCGGGTGGCGCTGTGGGTTGAACCACAGAGCCTAGGACTTGCTGATCAGAAGGTCGGCGTTTCAAATCCCCGCGACGGGTTGAGCTCCCGTTGCTCGGTCCCTGCTCCTGCCAACCTAGCAGTTCAAAAGCATGAAGTCCAAGTAGATAAATAGGTACCACTCCGACGGGAAGGTAAACGGCGTTTCCGTGCGCTGCTCTGGTTCGCCAGAAGCGGCTTAGTCATGCTGGCCACATGACCTGGAAGCTGTATGCCAGCTCCCTCGGCCAATAAAGCGAGATGAGCGCCGCAACCCCAGAGTCAGTCACGACTGGACCTAATGGTCAGGGGTCCCTTTACCTTTACCTTTATTGTGGGCATTGGATCACAAGATTATTAGTCCTAGATCTCAACTCTTGACTTGCACCCGGTTTCGGAATAGCATAACAGACATGTGCGCAGGAAGGAGGGAAGAATCGCCCCCTGGGTAACTGGGGTTTGATTTGCGTTCCCCAATCGTCGGTGCAAGAAATGGAAGGTGACGCTATAAGGCATTGGGCAGAGTTAAGGTAATATAGGAGAGGTGAGGCCTGAAACAAAGATCCCAACTGTGTGGTACATTTAAAGCAGAATTATACCACTGACAAGAATTCTGGGAGCTGTAGTTTGTTAAGGTTGCTTGGAGAGCAGAGATTGCTTTTAGTATACGTGATTATTCTACTGAAAAACAGAATCAAGACATGCCTTTTCAATTTGTAGAAAGGTCTGAATAGCTCAGCTGTAGATCATAGAAACATTGGCGTCCCAACTTCTGTATTTTCCTGGAACTTTTTCTTTTTTTGGTGGAGGTAATTTTTTTAATTCCTATTTTTGCATCGCTTAGCACAAGTCCAGGGAGAGTTGAAAGAGGACGTGGAATGGCAATGAAAATCAATTCAGGGAATGCTTCCTTTGAAGTTGTGGAGAGTCTCTTCTGTGGGCTTTTATTGTCGCATGGGTCTGGCCCAGAGCGTCCATTAACATCTGAACTCTTATATCTGCATAGCAAACACTAATTGATTATATGAGTCTTGGAAGCCCTGGCTGCTTTTAAATTTCATTAAGCCAGTGTAGCAGAATTATTATTTTTGAATACAAGAGAACCATAGCACACGTTACAGCGAAGGGATCTTATTGCAATGGCTGGGTTTGCTTTGGGACTGGGGTGGAAGTCAAAGCACAGTATATCAGAGCCTTTTCCATCTGAAGGTGAAAAAAGCCCCTCACATTGCAGGGATTATTATTATTATTTGGTCGTAATCTGGTAACTAGGAGCTTTTCAAGTACATTTGGAATTGCTGCTATAGAATTAAAATGTTATAAGACTGTGCTATCGGGTACCGTTAAGGATGCACTGGGCAGCCCTTTGCTCAACCCAAAATGGCTGGAGCTTTTGCGATTGCTTGGTTTGAGCACTTGCAAAAGACATTTCAGAGCTCTCCACCGCCTCTGCTGTCGGTGCCTACCCTGCAAGGGCAAGGAGAGGCAATGGTGGAATGGCAGAAGGATGCTGTACTGGGGACATGGAGTGCCTGCCACCTTCCGCTGTCCCAGGTAGCTATTCTGGGCTCTTGGGAGCAGGGTAAGGAAGAAGCAGTTCTCAGCATCATGGAGAGCCCAGCCCTGCTTACTATTAAGCTGAGCAAAGATTGGTCCTCCTAGTTCCTGCTTGCAAGCATCTGATCACAGGCTCTCCCTTTTTAAAAAGCTCTGTGAATGTTTGCAACACCCCTGGTAGTTATTTGTCATAGCTGCGGTTTGATACGCTGAGATGCGAGCTAAAAGAATATTGCATGGCATATAGACCACTGTTCCTAGGGGGCTGTTGTGCCAACATAGCAGGGTAAAAAACAGCTCTATGGGGCAGGGGTCAGCAACCTTTTTCAGCCGTGGGCCAGTCCACCGTCCCTCAGACCATGTGTTGGACCGGACTATATTGGGGGGGGGGATGAATTAATTCCTATGCCCCACAAATAACCCAGAGATGCATTTTAAATAAAAGGACACATTCTACTTATGAAAAAACACGCTGATTCCCAGACCGTCCGTGGGCTGGATTGAGAAGGCGATTTATATGTGCAAACCTTTCAAAAGCTAGAGTGGAACTAACAGGTATACCATGCAGGTGCTCTCGCTGTGAAGGTATGATTTGCTGCACGTCTCTGTTGAGTTGTACACTCAGCGGTAAATCTGGATTTGCTACCGTGAGAATTGTGGTCTTGTGGCTTCTGCGTCTGTCTCTATCTGAGGCTGGATTTTGGAAGCCCATAGTTCTTCAGCTGTGCTGGATCAATGCATCTGCTCAAGGAGACTCTGGGTATGTAAACTCTCTGGGAAAATACCATACTTTTCCGTGTAGGTTTTTCCCTTTAAAAATTATGCTAAAAAGTGGGGGCCGTGTTATACATGGGTAGTGCATAGGGTGGACGTTTGATTGGTTGCTGCCGCGGCTGTCAGTGGCTATTGGGCGTGTCATTGGTTGCTGCGTCAAGGGGTGTTGTTGATTGACTGACGCTGTGGCAATGTGGCGAGTGAGGGGACAGATGAGAGGGAGGTGGATTTTGCGATGCAGGTGAGCGATTTTTGGCAGTCCTCCCTAAAAAAAGCTCAACGACTCTGTGCCATCTCCCCCCGTTTTCTAAAATTTGAGTCCCCCAAAATAGGGGGCGTCTTATACATGGGGGCGTCTAATACACGGAAAACTACGGTAATCTGTAGAAATACTTTTCAAAAAAGAAGAAGCTCCCCTCCATCTTTCGGAAGGATCGTTGCGATGATGCTGTTCTCCTTAGGAATCCACTTGCGAAACCTCCACTCCTATATCGAAGTGCCGCTGAAGTGCAGTTCCTGTGAAAATGTCTTCCATGAGCGCTACGCTTTCAGACAGCATAAGAAAACCCACACAAATGAGAAGAGATTCAGATGTGACGAGTGCAGTTACGCATGCAAGCAGGTATTTAAGACAGTCGGGGTCTGAATGTGGGTTTGATGGGATTAGTTTGCTGTGGGAGATGTGTTTCCTTTGATCGCCATGCAAATATTTGTCGCCGCAGTCTGTCGCTAAAGTCCTATACATTTTTTTTAAAAAAAAACAAGATTTTCTGGTACAAGAAGCAGGGGATATTTATACTAAGTATTGCAGTTTTTGATGTGCTTCTAAGCAGAGATGCTCGCCGTCGACATGATCAGAGGAGAAATTCTGTATCTGAAGTCGCTTCTCTCTGCCACATGCCAGAAATAATATTTGAACTGCGAGAATGAAAATGGACAAAATTATATTGGCATGTGATCAAGTGGTAATTAATTGATTCCTGCTTTTAAAGGAGCTGAAAATACGTTAAAAGCTGGTTTGCTTCAAAAGGAGCTGTAACTTAGTGGTAGGACAAAAGATTTGCCATATGCAAATTTTTATAATTGCTTTGGGGTAAGGCTGTGAGCCTCTAAACCACAGAGCCTAGGACTTGCCGATCAGAAGGTCGGCGGTTTGAATCCCCACAACGTGGTGAGCTCCGGTTGCTCGGTCCCAGCTCCTGCCAACCTAGCAGTTTGAAAGCACGTCAAAGTGCAAGTAGATAAATAGGTACCGCTCCGGCAGGAAGGTAAATGGCGTTTCCGTGCGCTGCTCTGGTTCGCCAGAAGCGGTTTAGTCATGCTGGCCACATGACCCGGAAGCTGTACACCGGCTCCCTCGGCCAGTAAAGCGAGATGAGCGCCGCAACCCCAGAGTCGGCCACGACTGGACCTAATGGTCAGGGATCCCTTTACCTTTAACTTAAGGCTGTGAAAGCGCTAGAGCACCCAGTCACTGAGATCCAGCTCTGAGGGCCTTCTGGAGTTCCCTCACTGCGAGAAGTGAGGTTACAGTAAACCAGGCAGAGGGCCTTCTCGGTGGTGGCACCCGCCCTGTGGAACACCTCCCATCAGCATTGGATACAACCCCTTATACTGAAGGGAAAGCAGTGAGTAGCCTCACAAACACATTCTGGATTGAATCTCTGCGGTTGCTTTGTTTTCAGAATAAAAATGTCCCATTTAAGCAAGTTTCCCCTCCCCCCATATGTGTTATTTGGCTCTCGGACATTTGCCCCCATTATGTTCTCTGATCATATCTCCACCAACCTAAATAAATACCAATAAATAAATGAAAAGCAGGGTACATACTTTCCTCATTTCCTAGCTTACGCATATGTAGAAATGAACGAATTATGCATGCTTCATCCTCTTTGCCCGACTTTGGGAGAGAGTTTGGAATTAAAATGCATAAATTCAGTAGAGCCAGTTCTCCATGGTGCATTTATTTGTTTGTCTTGTTGCATTACTAATTTCAACACAACTGGGTTTTTTTTTTACTTCTGTTTGAACTGGTCCTGGCATTCTCAAATAATGAGATTAGTGTACACGTGTGTGTTTTCAAAGGATTAATTTATTTTTGAAACAAACTTGGAACTAAAGCAAGAGTTTTCCAGTCGTGCTCTTTCTACTCTCGAGTAGTAGAAAACGGGCATTAAAATAGGGCCAAGTTACAGATGCCAGCAGTTTTTCATCCCTCCTACTTCCCCAACGTTGTATCCTTGCTCCTAAAGACACTTCCTTGGATCAGGGCGACAGAACACCTGCTTTGCATGCAGAAGGTCCCAGCTTCAATCTCTAGCATCACCAGGCAGGGCTGGGAAAAGCCCCCTGCCTGGAATCCTGGAGTGCTGCTGCCAGTCAGTGGAGACAGTACTGAGATAGATGGACCAATGGTCTGAATCTGCATAAAGCAGCTTCCTTTGCACTTAACATTGGACCTCAGCCACTTACTGTGTTTTGGCATAGGCAAAGGCTCTTCGGCTTTCTCCTCCCCACGGAAAACAGCGACGGAGGCTAAATTCGCTTCTGTCCCTCACCTTATGCTCTTCTGCTCCCTCTTACATATACATGAAGCAGGACATGGGCAAATGGCAGCGAGTACCAAAGCAGGTGGCACTGTGGGTTAAACCACAGAGCCTAGGACTTGCCGATCAGAAGGTCGGCGGTTCAAATCCCCATGACGGGGTGAGCTCCCGTTGCTCGGTCCGTGCTCCTGCCAACCTAGCAGTTCGAAAGCAAGTCAAAGTGCAAGTAGATAAATAGGTACCGCTCCGGCGGGAAGGTAAACGGCGTTTCCGTGCACTGCTCTGGTTCGCCAGAAGCGGCTTAATCATGCTGGCCACATGACCTGGAAGCTGTACGCCGGCTCCCTCGGCCAGTGAAGCGAGATGAGCGCCGCAACCCCAGAGTCGGTCACGACTGGACCAAATGGTGAGGGGTCCCTTTACCTTTACCAAAGGATGCAACGGGAGACCTTTGCCCATGCTGTTTGCATAGGAGTTGGAAGGGGTAAAGTCCCCTTTGCCTTTATCCGGGTCCATGCAGAAGTAAGGAAGAAATCCAGGCTTGCTAGTCCTTCAAAATGTGGTCCTTGTTGGCAGCTAGTTGCTCATTTGGGCTTTTCAGATTATTTCTCAGCAAATGCCCTATCTATCAGTTTTCCAAGTTTCTCAGAAGGGCCCCTCACGAACTTGACCTCCCTGCTGTGCCCCCAGACTCCTCTTTTAGGCAGGCAGCTCCCATCCGCCATGTGTACCTGCCCAGAATGCATTGCCTCAGCCTATAGATCTATAACGTCTGTAAAACCCAGTCTAGAGATCTATAGGCTGGAGGCATTGGATGCTGGTTAAATTTAAGATGGCGGCTGGCCACTGCAGATGGGAGCTAAGCTCGGCTCCCATTCAAAAGCGAAACCACCGCCTGCCCAGCACTAAAATGCCATCCAAGGGAGGCTGATGGGTGCTGATGCTGTTGCCCCTGAAGCAGAGGCGTGGGGCAGCCTGCACAGTCGTGTCCACATGGCGGGGGAATGTGCCATCAGATGCACCGTGGCAAGGACCTCCTGAAGTGTGGCTCCAGTTCTGTTCCCCATTCAGTCCTCCTGCCGAAAACGAGTGACCTTCATGGGGTGGGGTCAGCAGACACACATGGGTTGGAGCAGATAGGGTCAGTGGCGTTCAGGGAATGCATGCAGGAAGCCCTCATGAGACTGGAGAGCTTGCTCAACTCTAACACAAGGAGCATGTAGCTCCGTAGGTGTCAGGAGTGAGCCGGCAGTAAATCACACTGTGCAAGTTGGAGTTAACTCTTGATTAGCAAGAACACAATCTGCACAGACTTGGCGGCTTAATGAGCATAGCATCCCTGGTAGGTCTTGTCACATGAATCAGTTGCCAAGACTAAAAGTCCCCACCTCCCCACAGCAGTCTTAAGTACCTTCCTCTCCAGGGTTCTTCCCAAGCAGTCGGAGACTGCGCCTCCGTGACGCCAACCTCTCCTCTGCCCTTTTCATCCCTCTTCTGGTTCTGTACATTTCCAGGCGTGGCTGCTGAAACGCTTGGCTTTCCTTCCAGTCAGTCCTCCTCCTTTTCCTTCCCCACCAGGAACGCCATATGGTTATTCACAAACGGACACATACAGGCGAGAAGCCCTTCGTCTGCGTATCTTGCAGCAAACGCTTTCGACAGAAACAGCTCCTGATGGTCCATTTCAAGAAGTACCACGACTCCAGTTTTCAGCCAAGAGTGTACAAATGCCCGAAATGTGGCAAAGGCTATTCTCGCTGGGTGAGTTGACTTTGCTTTGTAAAGGAAATGTCTCTCCTGTCAAACAGATCCAGAACTGTGTGTGCTCCGTGGGTTACATACAAGCACAATAGCAAAAAAATATCTGGTATGGGTTGCAAAATTCAGCCATGTGGCAGTTTCAGCTGCTATTGTGCTTTTTGTTTGGCATCAAGGCAGAGGGGGGCATCAGGACCCTGATAGAGGCACTGCCAGTCAAGGCAGGCAATGCTATCATAAACCAGGGGTTGCCAAGCTTTGTAGGCCCCTGGGCACATTTGGATCAGTGTGTGTGTGTGTGTGTGTGTGTGTGTGTGTTTGTGTGTGTGTATGCGTGCACACTTTGCTTTTCCAAGGAATCCAGTAAAAGTCAGATCCAGCAGAATTAAATAGAGAAAAACACAGAAAAACCATAAGAAATCTGTATCGTGGCATTATAACCAAAAATGCAAAAGAAACGCATCCGTTAAGAAACAAGGACTCAATCAGTAAAAGAGAGCAGTTTGGGGAATCTTATGTTTATGTTATCAGGAATGAATACGTATTATTATTTATATTTCAAAAATATAGCACACGCTAGTATAAAAGAACAGGGAGGGTGTAACAAATCTATGTCAAATCCCACAAAGTCAGTTGAGGTCACTTGTTACCTTGTTACACATGACCTTTCAGAACGAAATTTAATATTTCCATTTGTATATCCCCACCGTGAGCCTAAATCATAGATCTCTAGAGTGCGAAGGGACCCCAAGGATTATCTAGTCCAGCCCCCTACAATGCAGAAATCATGGTCAAATGTTGATCCTAAGTTATATAATTCATTGAATTATATTGATCCTAATAGACATTGATCCTGATGCAATTCATTGAATCGGTGACTATAAGCCCTAACTCTTGACAGGCAGACAGACGGATATTGTGCATAATATACTAGATAGCTGAATCTTGGTGTGTGTTTTTTATCCCTTATTCCGAGCAGAATAATATGCGAAAGCATGCTGAAAAGTGCGGCGAGTTAAGGACCGTTCAACCTAGCAAAGGGAACAAGAATAAAAAGAAAGAAAACAAGGGGTCCAGCCACGACACTAAAGAAGGAGGTAATCTTTGAGGTGACTTCAGGTGAAAGGGAGATTGTTCGCGTGCTGCGATCGCGCTGAGTTGTTCCTTGCGAGCATGCAGCTTTCTGCTCACACAGCCGCACGCAACATGTGTTTATTATTTTGGCAAGGGAGATTTGGCATTGGCCTGGGCCTAAAAGGTCTCATTGTATACCTGCATTGTATATTAGCATAACTATATACAATATATTGCATATATTATTATGTGACAGGGCTACGTGCGTGCAGCTCCAGTTGCAGTCATGCTTGCACAGATCAGGGCCATCTGTCAGGGATCCTATAACTGATTCCTGCATCGCATTGGGGTTGGAATAGATGGCCCCCAGCAGTCCCTTCCAACTCTACTGTCAGGAACTGGGCAGAGGAGGAATGGCGGAGACCGCCTCCCCATCCTGACCCTTCCAGGGAGGAGGAAGAGGAAGACAGTATAGGTTTACAACAGGGGTTTGAGGGAGGTCGCAGCTCAGAGGCAGATGAGGGGAAAAGCTGTGAAATCTTGGGAGAGCCGGAACAACACCCAGCTGACAAGTTGTCATTAGAAAGCATTCCAGACCCTCCATCTCCCAGAACCCGGCGAACCTTAAAAGTAGGAGAGCAAAGAGCTCAAAGACAGAGGGCACGTAGCAGCACCCGTAGAAGTGAGGAAGGGGGTGGGGTGGGGGGGATTCACTTGGGACAACACCATTATCCAAGAGGCTGGGTCCTATAGCTTCTCTCTGTAAAGATTGAAATAAAAAAGGACGGTAAGAAGCTTTTCCTTGTCTTTATACTTCCCTGGGCAACCAGCCGGGAGCCGTTGACAGCATCCTGACATCAACAGTTCTACCTTCCTGTGTATGCATTTGTTCTCCACAAATGTCCTTCTTTCTCTCTCTCCTCCCCCTCGCCAGGAGCTCCTTGTGTTAACTCTCAATTCTTCGCTCCTCGTATCCCTGTCGGAACGTGGGAGAAAAAGGAAGTTGTTTTGGACAACGAGAAAACTGGGGTGACTTGTGAGACGATCTTCGACTCGATGGACAAATGATGCAGTTAAACACCTCTTCTGTCTGCTTGTAAATACATCGAGGCATTAAGCTCGATTGGCAGATCTGTAGAGCATTGTTCCCTGAAGGTTGCTGAAACTGCCTACATTTTGCCATTGTTCTGTTAATGGCACGCAAGAAGTCAAGAGTAGGTTCGTGGAGGTAAATTGCCTCAGCGAAATCGTTCCAAATAACTCTGGCTGTCTCGCCAAGGACAAGTCACCTCTGAATAAATTGTTGGATTTCAAATAGCTTCCATTCAGCGTTACAAGTTTAGTTATAAAGAGCTGGAATTATAATACAATTTGAATGGATTCCTTTATGGCATAGATCCCAGATCTCTTTAGCAAATGTGGCAGGAGACAATGATGATTTTTTAAAAGAGAGTTTATAGCGGTATTGTAACAGATGTACTCATCCCCTTATCCTTTCTAAACTAAACAGTGTTTCAGAAACTTGCTTGACCCACAAGGCAAAGTGTACCTACCCCACAAGAAGGAGTGCCTCTATCATAACACCTCCAGCACTCTTTAGAACAGGCAAACTGTCGGCAGCTGCGCCGCTTAAATTCTGTAAGTCTATAAACAGACTGAAAAGAGGAAGAAAGTTTATTTAAGGTTGCAGTGCGTTCTGAGCATTTTACCTTTAAAGTGTATTGAAAAAGAAAAGAAAACACAGAGAACTATTGTAATCTGTAAACAAGTTTGCATATCGTGTATTTCCGTTTAACTTGTTCGCACAAATAATTACGGAGAGAGGCGTTTTCTTCTCTTGTGGGAAACATGTTCACAGCCATTTTGACAGTGGCAGCCGTCTTCAAGTTTGTATTTTGACCAGGTCCAATAATCCTCTGTCTCTTATTGATTTGATTGAATAGCAAGCTGCTATTTCAATTGCCCTCAGGTTGTAGAAAGAAATAATTATGTTTTCTACATTTTTTACCCTAGGTTTTTGGCTATGCCGACGCTTGTTGCATTATATCTATTGACATGGGAATCAGAACTGGAAATGAAACTTCTTTTGCCCACTCTGCCCATCCCTCCCCTTGTCACGCAGAACTCACACACAAACAGTTAGAAATGCTTTCATCCTTCAGTATCGCAGAGGTTTGCTGGCATGAGTTTTACTTTAAATGAATTAATTTTGACTTGCCACCATTTCCCAGGAATTCTTTCCCAGTTGCATTCTTCTCAGTAGTTCTCATGCAATGGATTTTGCCATCCAGTTTTATAGAGCCGATTAATTGAATACGGGAGGTGGGAAAGACTAATTCTCAGCACCCATCCCACCTCTGTAAATACCGACCAAATCAGACAACCTTCATGGTTAGCTAAGCAGCAGAGATCCTTGGGTGCAAGCGTCGCGCAAGGAGAACAGCGTTCAAGTCTGTTAACGTTTTTACCTTGGAAATTGCTAACCTCTGCAGCATCACTGAGATGTTACCAGAATGAATCAGAATTGTTCATACTGCCTATTTTGTTTTATTGCAATAAGGTGTGATAACAGTATGCTTTGCGGTGGTGTGTTCTCTCCTTTTTAACGTTTACTCGTTTTTAAAGACAAGATGCAGCTGCAATGAATGCTGATGTCTTGATTTGCCTACAGTTTATAAGAGTGTAATAGTACAACCATTTTAAGGCAAACGTTAGTGTTTGCTCTGGGAGGAAATGGGCTTTTTGCGTTCAATAAAGATTTTTCTGAACATCATCTTTTAGCTGGCCTCTTTAATCATGTCTTGCCTTCAGAAACTAGATTCTCTGATGTGAAATCCGAAGCAAAGTATCCAGAGTCATAGCAAATCTCTGTAAACCTTGGGCTGGATATGCCAAGGCCCAAGATCAACAGAGGGGTCTTACTGGTGGTCCTACAAACAAGTGGTGCTCTCTGTGTGGGGACCTGGAGGTGGGTCTTCTCTGTAGTGGTGCCCCACCTATGGAACTCCTTCCCCTTGGAAGTATGAATGGCCCCAACATTAATGGGTACTTGCAATTTTTTGTGGGGGGAACCCATTGGTTTTCTGAAGCTTTCAGGTGATTAGGGGTTTCTAATATATCTTCACCTGGGTGTCCTATAAGGTAAAGGTAAAGGGACCCCTGACCATTAGGTCTAGTTGTGGCTGACTCTGGGGTTGCGGCGCTCATCTCGCTTTATTGGCCGAGGGAGCCGGCGTACAGATTCCGGGTCGTGGCCAGCATGACTAAACCAGAGCAGCGCATGGAAACGCTATTTACCTTCCCGCTGGAACGGTACCTGTTTATCTACTTGCACTTTGACGTGCTTTCGAACTGCTAGGTTGGCAGGAGCTGGGACTGAACAACGGGAGCTCACCCCATTGCGGGGATTTGAACCGCCGACCCTCTGATCGGCAAGTCCTAGGCTCTGTGGTTTAACCCACAGTGCCACCCGCTTCCTATATTTGGCATTAAATGGAATAAAACTGGATGGTTTTGGGATGCGGGTGACGCTGTGGTCTAAACCACAGAGCCTAGGGCTTGCCACATGACCCAGAAGCTGTACCCTGGCTCCCTCGGCCAGTAAAGCGAGATGAGCGCCGCAACCCCAGAGTCGGCCACGACTGGACCTAATGGTCAGGGGTCCCTTTACCTTTTATGGATGCTTTTAATACTTCATGATGCTTTCTTTGGGATTCTTACAGATTTTATATTCAAACCCCTTTTTTCCCATTTCAGTTGCATTTCTATGCCGCTTTGCACTCAAACGAGTCACCAAGCGGCTAACTTAAATAATAACATCGTAGGACATCACAACTGCAACATAAGCCATACGAAGTAATAACAAATCATCAGGAAAACAACCACCTTCTATGAAACGCCATTAACAAAGCAACTTTAAGAATAGGCTCAAGCACAAGAAAGACCATAAAGTTCACAAAGCGTGGCAGCACTCGTAATCTACAAAATAGTATTAGCAACGTTAACAAGCTTAACAACCAAAAACAAATGAAGGTTGTGGGTTTGAGCCCCATGTTGGGCAAAGGATCCCTGCATTGCAGAGGGTTGGACTAGATGAACCTTGGGGTCCCTTCCAATTCTAAAAGTCTTATGAGAAGTGAATAAAGCAGAAATCCCGAAGGTTCAAACAAAGCAGGGTCATATGGAGCAGGGAAAGTCTGGGCAGTTGTTACGATTTATATACTACCCTTCATCGTAAGATTTCGGGGTGGTTCACAGAATAAAATACAGGATAACAGGCAATAAGCTGCTTTTGGGTGCCTATGGCAGTTCCACGCATTTTGGGACATCTCTGTACGCTAAGCCTAGCTAAAAATAGTACTTAGTTCGTGGGCCAGCGTCTGCAGAAAATTCAGAAATAAGGACTCCACACAAACCAGGCACTTCCTTCAGGATCAACCTGACAAATAACCTTATTTTATCAATTCAGTAATGATGTTAGAATGCAGTGCTGAGAGCTTGCCTCAAGGTGGTGATCTAATTTCACTTGTGTGTTAAGCGAGGAGGTTTAAAGAGGCTGGTTTGGGAGCAGGGAATGTTGCCATGTTGATCCTAGGAAACTGGGGAAGCGAAGCCATCCAGCAAATGGCCAATGTAAATTTTTTTCTGCAACATATAGCTGTGGGTTATATAGCTGTGGGTCTTGAAAGTGCTCTAGCTCATACTCCCTGTTCGTGCAGGAGAATGGCCAACTAGCATGCTTGTCCATTGCCCAATGTGAACCCAGTGTGCAGGTAGGACTTGCAAGTTTCGGTGGCAGACAAGCAGACAAGGAACCAGTTCCCTTAAAGTAGGTGTGGAGGGACCTTGTTCGACTCGAGAGCCACATTCTCTTCTGGGCAACATTTTTAGGGTCACAACCAGCAAGGGCAAACGCAAAAGTCAGCACAGCAACTAATACAAAGTTTGCTTTTGTACAATATAAATTCCTTTCTAAGTGCGTGCCTTTCTCTGTCCTTTCAGACAAGCAAGGGGGAAAGTTAGAGTTCAAGGGCAGATTCCAGTCAGGCAAAACCACTTGGTGGGTGGCCTAGAGAGTGTGCTGAGGGCCAGATGAAGGAGATCTTGAGGACCACATTCCACTGCTGGGCCTGAAGCTCACCGCACCCGCCTTGGAGAGAGAAAACTCGAAAACCCACCATTTTAAACATTACATTCACATGGGCGGTGATACCCACCTTAAATTCCATGCTTACAGAGTTACACCCAGAAATCTTTTTATTATTAATAATCATTTTTATTAAATTTTCAAATTTTACATTTCAAATTAAACATATTTTGTTATTCCATATATTCATTGACTTCCCTCCCTCCCCTTCCAAGGTTCATTTAACTTATCCACCATCCCTGCATATTTTAAGATACCCATCTAATTTAATTTTCCTATCTTACATCAGTTCAAAATATGTTATACTGTTGAATTACTTTAATACTGCCAGAGCTTTTAACTCTGCACAATCATTTTCAATATACTTGACAAAAAAATTCCACTATTTAAATACCTGTTCTTGTTCTCTTATTCTGCTTGTTAGGCCTGCTAATTCTGCATATTCTATCATCTTAAGTTTCCAGTCTTCCTTACCAGGGACTTCTTTCACTTTCCATTTTTGGGCTAACAAGATCCAAGCTGCTGTTGTTCCATACATGAATAAGTTCTTCTGACTCCTGGGAACCTCTGTCTGAACAATTCCTAACAGTAATGTCTCTGGGGGTTTTTGAGATAGTTGTTTTAAACATCTTTTTCGACTCATTGTATATCATTTCCCAATATACTTTAACTTTTTCGCATGTCCACCACATATGGGAAAAGTTCCTTCTACTTCTTTGCATTTCCAACATAAGTCCGATTCCACCTTATACATTTTAGCCAATCTACTTGGAGTTAAATACAATCTATGGATCATTTTCATATAATTTTAGTGTGTAGCATTGCAGTAGATTTCAGATCATGCTTCCAAAGTTTCTTGCAGAGGTTTAAATCTATATTATATCCTATATCCATTGCCCAGTTACACCCAGGAATCTTGGCACAGGAGATAAGTTCATGGCAGGCTCTGTGATAGATTACGCTTTTAAACGGCTGCCATGGTCAGGCCAGTACAACCCCCTCACAGCGTTCTCTGCTTGAATTGTGTAACATCTTGTGGGAGGCATTGCTGTTTTGTACTGGGCAAGCACACTAACCCTAGAAAACTCTTTAACAAGGCAGCAACTCCCAGCAAATGGCACCAGTCCCCTCTGTTTTCTTTTGGGAGCTTTTAAATTGTTGCATTATTGTTTGTGCTCAGCCACTGGAACGAGTGAACTTTGTCTAGCTGTGGGCTGCATATCTATCATTAAACAGTATAGAACACTAACAGTTTCTGGTCCAATATTTTCAACAGGGCATTTTAACAGGTTCCACAGCATTTTGAGCTGGCCTTTCATTGTGAAACAGTTTTTCCTCCTTTCAAACGGCCCTTTTGACTTCTAGTGTTCTCTAAGGGTCATACTCTGCCTTCCTCTTTAGATTTTGTGTCATTTGGGTGGTGAGCACAGCACAGCCTTCCTTGATATTTTGAAGGGCTGGCTCTGATACAGTGCTGGACCTGTCTTCCACAACCTGGTACCCTCCAGATGTTTTAGACTTCACCTCCCATCTTCGGCTGTGCTGACTGTGACATGTAGTCCAAAACATCTTTGAGGCCCTGAATTGGAGAAGCCTGTATGAAGCCATAGTTTTTCAGTGGTTTGATTTAATATGGTGTCCAATGATATCCAAACATAGACCAAAACCCATTCCTTGATCCTTGTATGAATGAGATTTGATAGTGAACCGCCAGCCACTTTTGTCTCTGAGGCAAGACAGGTACACTAATTTCCCTTCAAAGTACATGCCTTGGAGGCCCCAAAAGCACTCTGAGCTGGGATTAGAAACAGCGTAAGAGATGTGGTGGTAGTCCTGGAAAGAAGGGAATAAAAGCTTCTTTACCCCCTTCCTATTCCCTCCAACATAATGCGGCCAAAATCCGATACACTGTCTTTTGGGTCCAAAATCCCTTGTGAGGCACCTGACACGGACAAGATTGTGGGCCCAGAAAAAGCACCTTTTTTGGACACAGAGCCCAAACATGCACATTTTGGGGCACTGTGCGAGATCGTGGACCTGAAGAAATACTTTTTTGGGGGGTGAGATCTCGCCCCAAAATCACACAGGAGCAAGGCACCCAAAATGGCCGCCTTGCTCTTGCAGGAAAAACCAGTTGACGGGTATTCCTTCTGGTAAAGAAACCAGCCAGAAAGCTTTGCGGCAGAATCAATACTTGAACCTAGTCCCACTGCCCCAGTCCTTGTATGGCACTAAACACTACTCCTCAGTGGAAACTTGGACTTTAAAGATTGGCCTGTTCATCAAACTATCCGGCTAAGATGGGCATTTGTGTATGAGAAGAGGTTTGTTGTTCTTTCAGTTTGGGCCACACGAGTTGCATATTCATCTGTAAGCAGCACAGCCTTCGGAGTTTGCAGCGTTCAAAGTTCTTTGGAGAGGAGCTGCAGCTGTGCTTGCCTCGCTTCCTTGTCAGGAAGAGGAGAGCCCGGGCGGCGAAGAGCTGCTCAGCGTTTGGTGCCTTGCCATCCCATCTGGCAGATGGCTGCTCGCTCCAGGAGGTCATGCGTACAGTTCGGCGGACTGTCCTGCCGCTGACAGCTTCTCCCTCTCAACAGCAGCAGGCGAACGAGTCGGAACAATACGTTGCTCTTGCGGCCC